CTCAATCGGGAGTCCATAAGTACGCCAAGGTTACGTGCTTCGGATACCTGCTCAATATAATCGCCTCCAATCTGAATTCTAGGGCCATGGGCTCTAGTACAGGCAATTAATTTCTTAGATCCCAAAACTACGAACTTGGACTTGCCAGGATTTACCTTCACATTACTCTCTAGAGTAGTTGAAAGTTCAAATTGTCTTTTTAGTAGGTACTTTATTTTCTTTAATTTTACTGAGTCATTAATGATAATATCACATACAACGCAGTCTTAGAGCATACCGGGGCCCTGGGGCGCACAAGAATTTGGGGGCCTATTGAAAAGTAAAAAAGTTTGTTGTATAGTTGTATTAGTTGTATAGTTTGTTGGACCCACTGAAGCTTTGAATACTGCTAATGCTACTGTAATCCCCAAAAAAACTGCAGACTCAACAGGATTGAGGGATACGTTATTTAATAATAAACTAAAATTGCCTTCTTACATTAGGAAGAGTAAAAAGAATACATTTAGTTTTTTTGGCATTTAATACCATATTATTTATGGTGAACCAGTGAAGGATATGCGAAAGTGCACCATTACGTCATCATTTGATTTTTTTTTTTTTTTGCTGGATGAGCCACTGTTGGCCTTAGGGGCCTTTACAGATCCGACGGACTTGAGGGGGCCGGGCGCTCGAGGCGCCTAGCCTGAACCTCGCGTATTTATTATTACGTGTTATGGTGACTAAGCTCGAGGGCTCCCGAAGGAACCTCGGCTCGGGCCGTCACGCTATTAGTTTCACCGGTTTGGGAGGCCGCCAAGCTCTTAGGGCGCTTTGGCGGACGCTCCATGGAGTGATCAGGCTCAAGGGTCCCCGAGAGGGGACCTCGGCTTGGGCTGTTACTCAGCACGCGTTTAGCATTCCGATTCGAGGGTGCCCGAGAGGGCCGGACCTCGGCTCGATCGGTAGCTGTTAACTGACTGGGATCATCATTTGATAAATTTCGGTCAACCTTAAAGATGAGTGATGTATCGTCAGCAAACAGTACATCACAAAACTCACTGACATAAGAGGGGAGATCATTTATATATATACTAGAAAGTTGATTCACAATTGCTAGTAGACGCGAACATATTATTCCGCCATTGCAAATACTAATTTTAAAGAAATTGAAAATAGCGGGGGAATAGAGCGGGAAATACTTTTCTTTTTAAATTTAATATACGATTAGGTACTCAAATATCGATACAGCCAATGTGCTAATATCGATTTCGGAATTCAATTACAAATTTTATAAAATATTTTTAATACTTACATAAATTAAGTTCGTATAAAATAAGTCTATTTAACTCGGAGTGATAGGTTTTTTTCGTAATTACACATTTTTATATATCAAGAAGCCTTAGCTGATCTAGATTAGTAGCGATTTTTTTTTATATTATTTATTAAAATTACGAATTTTTTTCTTTTCACATACGAAATATTCACTTTTCATAGATTTAAATTTATTGCTTTATGTAAAAGAAATATAAATGAAATATTCAAAAATTTTTATTTCATTATTAAATTTGACCATAAGACGCGCTTCGCCAGAACACTCGCTATGTCGCCCCTGAGTGTCGCTTCACCCACTCGGCCTTTGCTCCGCTACGGATCTCGCCGGCTTGCTCCACTCAGGACCACGACGCTAGGTTCGGGCTCCGCCTTTTTATGTTCACTCTAGGGGTAGGGACCACATGACCATGTGATCTACATGGAGTCGGGGTGCTCTGTGTCGGATTCATCACTCATTTTTTTTAATTTTAAACGATTTTACAATGATACGAGTATGACGTCACTCGCTACCTATATTTATCATGGCTGTACGTACTGTGTAATCAGTTTTTGAAGTCAAATTCATAAAATGGCGGATTTTTTTTAGTGAAAATGACACGTTATAAATACTTTTTTATTTATAAATTACACATTATTATATTTTTTTTACTAAATTGTTTTACAATCGACACAAGTATGACGTCGCCGGCTTCCTATATTATATTTATCATGTTGGCAGTACTGTATATTGAGTTTTTGAAGTGAACCAAAGAGTACTTTTATATATCTGAAATCTGCGTTACCCCAGGCTCTTTATTTCTGTACCTTTATTTTTCTTAATAAAAATATAAAATAAAACGTAGGAAAAAAATATAAAAAATCGATGAAAATGTAACGCCCCTAAAAACATCCAACGCGTTTATTTACGCACTAATTCTGGGCGAAAAAGCCGTAAGTTGGCAACCCTAATTTCGACATTCCAAGTGACAGAGAAGGTATACAGTGTGAGTGAGAAAGCAGATCAATCAAGAAAATGGCCGTCGTAATTGTTTATAGTAGAGATGGGTCGTATCGCTTTTTCTGAGTACCGTATCTGAATCAGATTTCGATTTCAAATATCAGATTTCGAAACTATGTATTTTAATATCTAGATATTTTACGGTCCCGTATCCACCTTGAATACTAAAAAAAAAAAAAAAAAAAAAAAGGATTTAAAAGTTGATTCATTCTATGTACATAATTTTCCTGATATTTAAAACTTAACTCATTTACAATTATGTGTGGGTTAATAATTATTTAGATTCCTCCGGGTTTAAATTCACGTTTACGAACGTAAGCTGTTTAACTTTAATCGTCGAAAGCAGAGATAAGACATATAGACTGGTGGTCGAAAGTCTTGTTCGACGATCATTGTACCTATACATAACTAAAGCTATTACCAGTGATACCAACTGTTCAAAACGAATACTTCTAAATAAATTCGAAAACCCACTCAAATTGACTAAATTCAAAAAACTTACTGAATTTAAAATCACGATTTTTTTGTTACTATTAAGGTAAAATTAAAACATTACCTGATAAAATTAAAAATTTCATTAAAAATAGAAATTGAAGTAATATAAAAATGATTTATTTTAACATCTTATATATCGCTTAATAATTGACTTTAACATATTTTTAAAACACGCAATCATGAGTGACAATATCTTTATAATTTGTGTAAGAAATAATACATTCAGTATTATAACTTAGGGCGGAAGAATTTAAAATATACACACAAAGCACATAAGCCTTGGTCTGATTTCCACCCAAGCAGCACAGCACTATTAAATTATATTTTTCTTTTTGTGTACTTTTATTTTTTTCCAAAAATATGAATAAAATTTAACTAATAAAAATATTCACAAAAAATTTACCTCCTAAAAAATTTCCATTTATATTTTTCTTCGTTAATATAATATTAAGTATATTCCTTAATATAATATTAATAATAATTTAGAAGAAAATTCTTAAGTAGTAAGTTACGTACGTTAATTATTACGTGCTTGTTACCAATGCAATCCAGCTCAAGACTAAACAAAATTTAAAGACATCGTTAATACCGTAATTCGTATTTAAATGCAACAGAGATTTTTTTCCATGCTGTTAAGATTCAAAATTACTTAACTGCGCGCTTTGTCGCCCGTTACGGCTCAAGGCTAAACAAAACAATAGAAATATAATAATATCGTTGTAGTAATCTTTGATACCGTGATTAGTATTTAATTAAAACGGATCTTATTTGCATGATCTTAAGATTCAAAATAACTTAACTTATTCATAATATCTGTTTAAAAATCTGATATTGTGCCTTGCTTGCCGTACTGTAGAGCAGTACTAGTGTAATATTTGTATCTCACGCGCTTTGTCGCTCAAAATCTGTTTAAAAATCTGATATCGTGTATTGCTTGCCGTCCCGCTCTAACTAGTGAGTATTTATATCTCACGCGCTTTGTCGCTCGATATCTGATATCGTGCATTGCTTGCCGTCCCGCTCTAACTAGTGAGTATTTATATCTCACGCGCTTTGTCGCTCGAAATCTGTTTAAAAATCAGATATTGTGGGAAACGCGTATGATATCGCGATTCGTGTCGGTATAGCGAGCGAGCACGGTACATCAGATTTCGGAAATATCAGATATTGTAAAATACATAGATATTGAACGAGCCAGTAAGCGATTTTCAGATATTGTACTAATATCTAGTTTTCATATCTGATACGATTTGTATCGCCCACTTCTAGTTTATAGTGACATCTCTGGTTGGAACCACGCAATAGATGCTGATTATAATACTACTAATTTTAAAAGGGATTACTTTCAACATCTAAAATGTCCTGTGACATTTTCAATTTACTAAGATAATGTTCTCACCGAAGTTGTTTGTTCTAAGATTGTACGGCCTGAAGTGAACTTTCAACTTAGTAAAATGGCGGTCTTTCTTAGTGAAAATAACAAATTTTAAATATTTTTTTCTCGAGAATTATGAGCAACCAGATAATTATGCTTGTTATTTATTTCATTAGTGATTTTTCTCTATAGAATAACATTTTGTGATAGGTCGAAAAACACCCGGCGCTAAAGGAAAAAATACCCCGTTTTCAGTCAGATGACAGATAAGACTAGATTTCAGTCAAAGAGTACTTTTATATATCTGATTTCAGTTCAGTTTCATATTGTTGATTGTTGTGTACTAACAATTATTGATATTGACAAAAATTAGTTGATAATTGATTCAATCTGATTAATTTACTCGCTGTAAATCGGGATATGACTGTGGCTTATATATAACTACAAACCAAAATATTGCGAGGATGGCAACGCTTAGCATTTAATAGATCAATAAGTTAAAAAATGCACTGATATTATAAAAGCAGTAACCTATTCAAATAATATTATAGATTCATATTAACATGACTTCCCAAATCTCGACATCAAATTTTAACTTACTTGGAATAAATGCCTTAAAAGATGACTTTACAATAAAAAATGTTTGGAACCACAATCTTCATGAAGAATTTCATGTCATCCGGAAGGTAATAAATTTCATATTACCATATTCTCGTTTTACTGCTTCAAATGTTATTGTACTCATTATGAAATATTTATTCAATCAAATGACCATTAAAGTATTTTTATTCACAGGTTGTTCAAAAATATCATTGGGTAGCCATGGACACTGAATTTCCTGGAGTAGTAGCCAGACCAATTGGTGAATTTAGATCTACAGCCGACTACCAATATCAATTACTGAGGTTATTTCCAATACCTGCATTTAGATATTTATTTATTGATTTCCAAATAAAAATTAAATGTTTACAATTTTTACTGATTATAGAAAAAGAAAAACAAAAAGTTATTAGCAATTTAATTATATTATAATGTTACAAATTTTCAGCTGTGTATCTTTAGTAATAGCTCATAGAATTTTGTAATTATACTAGAATATTATGAACACTATATAGATAGTCTTAATTTTTTTCTATTAACTTAGATAAAAGTAATTTTAAAAAGTATTGGTCGCTAAATCATAATATGAGATCACAAAAAACTATACTAACTGATTAACAATAAAGTCAAAAACTGCATAATGTAATGCACAAATTGGTGTCAGGCGTTGATAGCAAATTTTAAGTGCTTTTTTTTTTAATAAAGATTTAATGGCCTGGATCCTAAGTGCTGATTTATCACATGCTCATATGATAAGGAAGTCCAACAATCTGCAGTGGGGACATGTGGTAGACTATGTGTAGACTGTGCCCTATGTACAGAGGAAGACTTTGCCCAGCAGTGGGACATTATTAATTTACCTTTTTACTTTTTTCAGGTGCAATGTAGATCTATTAAGGATTATACAATTAGGTCTTACATTCATGGATGAAAATGGAAGGACTCCACCTGGATGTACAACATGGCAGTTTAATTTCAAATTTAATTTACAGTTAGTATTATATTTAGTAGCCATTAGTTTAAACTTGTTTGGCTGAATATTTTTCATACCATATAAATTAGTTGATTTTTATTGGTGTCAGGTTGCATTCTCCATCTAATGTTATTTGTGTGACTTAATAATAAATATGTTTGTATCCCTTTTAATCCCATTCCTATTAATTTATAAGAAATCTATTATTCTAAGACAAAAGGGGTCAATACTCCCATGACAATCTAGATCTGCCCCTGTTTTAATCCAGAGCCTAGTACTAGAAGACAACTGCAAGACTACAAAACAATGCACAACTTCTGTATGAATTCATAATAATAAAAAAATTGTTGACAGAAACTTTAAAAGAAAAGTAATATAAAAAGGACTATTATAATAGAATGCATATGTATAGTTATTTTTTTTCCCTGTCACGCAGGCCTCTTCAAAACTTTTCCTATACAATAATGTGTATGGTAGACTAGTGTTAAAAAATTTTAGTACCAACATTTAACAATTACCATATTGATCACTAAATAATGCTATAATTATCTTTTAATAATGATTTTATTATTGTATCAGAGAAGATATGTACGCACAAGATTCAATTGACCTCTTGCAAAACTCTGGGTTACAATTTAGAGAGCATGAGGAACATGGTATTGAGCCATTGGAGTTTGCTGAATTACTGATGTCATCAGGTATGTCAATAATATTTGTATAACTTTATAATATATTATTTTTAATATATTAAACTTTACAAAGCCATGATGGCTCAGTGTCCATGTGCTTATACATTTATAGGCTGTTACTTTTATATTGAATTTTACACATTTTTAGGAATTGTACTTATGGATGACATAAACTGGCTCAGTTTTCATTCAGGATATGACTTTGGGTATCTACTAAAATTGCTTACTGATCAGAACCTACCCCAAGAGGAGAATGATTTTTTTGAAAGTTTGCGGCTGTACTTCCCCACAGTATATGATGTCAAGGTTAGTTTCTATATGCATGCTCAATTGACTGATTTTGTGTCGTGATATATAATCGTTTATATAATCGTATATTGAAATAAAAAACAAAGATTTTTCCAAAAAATATGTCATTCTATTCCCTAAAAAACAGAACGTGTTGACAATGCGGTAGTTATTCATAAATACCTAAATTTGACTGTGCACGAACTTGTGTGCGTGTTAGTTATGAATGATCGCGCGTAAAATAATGAGTTCCGTATAAATCACGCACTTTTTGAGATAAGTTCAAATGAATGTAATTAATTACTTACGAGTGATTTTAAATATTTATCATTTTTATATAACATTATTTATGTCTTGAATTGAATAAAAAAAATGGATACACTTAGAAAAGCCACCGTGTATATTCTACTCACAAAAATTTTCATTACAGCATAATTTTAACTCAATAATATTATGCAAATAGAGTCTAACAGATGGGCCTCAAAAAATGATATTTAAAATCATAAAATTTATTTAGCCTTGTGACCAACACTTATTGAAAAATATTATACTTATTAATTATTTCAGTATTTAATGAAACTCTGCAAGAATCTGAAGGGTGGTCTTCAAGAAGTAGCCGATCAGTTGGAGCTACGTCGTGTCGGGCCACAACACCAAGCGGGATCAGATTCACATCTTACGGGTATGGCATTCTTCAAAATCAAAGAAGTAAGTCTCTTTAGGATATTAATATTAAACATATGCTTAATTGATACAGTTTATGCCATAAAACATTTATCTTCTGACTTCAAAAAATGAGGTTTGCAATTCGACTGTATTTTTTGTACGCACATAGCAACAGCAGAGTGTATTATATACATTTTATGCAGTTTCATATACTTTTTATTCAGAATTTCTTACGAAAACGTAAAAAGCCACAGGAGTGTATATATATATATATATATATTAATTTAGTAAGTATATATATATTTATATTTCTTCACTTTCGACGATCCTGCGAGTATCTACCACAGTGTTAATCGCTTGCAGATATTTTTCGATGGCAACATTGAGAGCACGAGCGGTCACCTCTACGGGCTCGGTGCGCCGTTCCCCACCAACAACTTCCAAGACAACGGCGACACTGGCAGCCCCTCCTGATCCGCGGACCCAGCGGACGTGGACGAGCTCACGCCATAGTACTGACGCATGAAACTCAAAACGAGAACGTCGGTTACTGTGATCGACACGTACCTGATTAAGAGTGTATAAGACGCTAATTTTTATGATTCAACTTGTTATGTATGTGTTGTTATTCTGTACTGTCTAGTTATATGATAATTAATAAATTGTTTCTTATTGTTCAGTTAGTGTTTAGATGAACACAAATATTAAACGCCACCGATAGATATATTATTGGAAAAATAACAACAAAACAAAGCTTTAAACTTGATGGCTAAACTAGAAAAGTATGAGAGAGTATTCAGCTGTTGTACAATGTAGAACCGATGGGAAAATGATGCTAACATATCACTTATTTTTTTATACTTTGACTAAATAATTAATATAAAATATAACAAACATCAAAAAAAAATGTTCTTTACTTTTATGACAAAACATATTATTGTATTGTTGTCATGAATTGTTCCGTGTATATTGTACCCCTAAAAATAACAAAAGCATGGTATAAATAAGAACCAATATTATTATTGGCAATATTCTTTATTTCAAAAATCTCACAATTCAAATCTAGAAAATATTTCTGATACAAACTGTTCGGGCGGAGTAGCGTTTGCTGACTACTGAGCAAGAAATTAACTATAAAAATCACTATTTAAACTCACTGAAAGTAATACTGGATAAAAAAAGATTAATCATACATAATTTTAGTCATTTACCAAATATGAAATGGGGAATGTTCTGGCAACACCAAATTATAGAGTATGCTTAAATACTCTACTAATTCTGTCACTGTGTTTTACCAAAGGTTTCTTAATAAATATAACTGCGGTCATCTAAATCTATGATTTGTAAAGGTTTAATACGACGTTTTCGACCATTTATAGGCCGGTTCCATTCTCATTTCTTCTTCTTTTTGTTTTTCTGGGCGGCGTCAGGTGTATTGTCAGCCTTGCGCTTGCCAGCATTCGCTCCTTTGCCGGCCGTATTACCGCCGGGAGTATTTTGATTTGCGTTGCCACTCTTTTTCTTCTTCTCTGCCCTCTCCTTTTCTTCCAGTTCTTGGTTTTCTCTTTCGATTAACGTAATCAGGGTGTTACATCTGAAAAAGATATACAATATTATATTAAACTGTCAATATCATATTAGTCTATTCCATGACCATGAATGCTGGAAAGAACTTGCGAGAATTCAAGGGAAGATCAAAAGTAATACGCGATAAAGTCCGTAAACTCATTTAATTTAATATATATTATACTTTGTTAATTTTATCTTTGTAAATGTAATCTTCAAATATTATAAACATAGCATACACATTTCGTGATTGGTCGTTTTCAAGTTTCCATGACAAGTTAGTTAGTTAAAACAATTTTTGAGATTTGTGTATCTGTTTGACACACAAATCACATTTTTATTGTAAGAAATGTTTTACTTCTAAAAAGGTTTGGTAAGGTGGATAAGGTTTCACAGCTCATGCTAGAAATGGTTACTTTGCACTAGAATTCGATTGTGCTATTATCCCATTAATTTTTAAACCTTGATTCTGAAGGCTATTACACTAGCTAGTGGTTTTTGTTTCTAAAACACGCAAGAAACATATTTCCTAGAGCTGGTGTCTTTTAAGCAAAATTGAATTTATATATCAAATTTATATTTCACTATCTAGCTAATGTGAGAATAATAATGTATGTGAGTAATATAAAACATTTTTTCTAGACATTTTAAAGTACACTACCCTGTAAGCAAAGATTATCCAATATAAGAGAAGTTTTCCGAAAATTCTGACTATACAGCGTGAGTAAACAGCGTCTAAATATACAGCGTGTCGTTGTATATCGGAAAACGACACGCTGTTGTATATCGGAAATTTCTATCTACTAGATCACACAAATACTTGTTACTTTGTGGAAGTTGAACCCAAAACGATCTAATAGTAACTGAAACGATCAGGTGATCAAATATTAAATTAAAGTTCATTATGTTATTCAAGTACTTGCGAGCCATGCGAATAGCTTTTTAGCTTCAACAAACAAAAGCATTGATGACCAAAAGTTGAAAGTCAGCAGATGCAGTTTCCAAATGTGTTCAGGAGAGCGTTACTTCTCAGTATGAAATTTTTGAGACAGAAATTTCCGCAAAGTTTTGCAGGTAGAACGTTACTGTCGAAAGTTTTGAAACAAAGAACGACACTTTCTAAAGTTTTGATGCAATAGAGGCCACAACTCATATCATATTCATCAAGGCGGGGAGGTTGAATTGTGAGAGTACGATCAAACTTCAATGCGACGCTAAAGTTAGTTATTCGTCTTGCTCTTCAGTTTATTTATATCGGAGGAGTTACATTCTCATTCATTCTGACTTCCAATACAAGCTGTATGTGTACAGTTACGTATAGAGTGTTACTCGGTGTTGCGAATATATAATTTTTTCGTAAATGACTCCGCTAGTTATACACATATGTATGCACCGTGAAGTGCAAAAATCGTTCAATAGAACTATATAACACCTAAAACCGCTCATAAGCAATAACCGTACACCGGAGTATAAATTCTGACTGCATATAAATTCTGATATAAAGACCTCCAAGTAGTCCAAGTCTCAGATACAGATCCTGCAATATTAGTCGCCATGTCAGTTTAGTTCACATTCTCGCAGTGTATTGTTTGTGAACTATAAGTACCTAACGTGGATTTAAGTTGCTGCAACGGTTACGAGGACCAAGTCAAAACCGGAGTTGCGTTGAAAAGTTTAACCATTAGGGTTTGTTTAGGTCGTTCTAGAAGATCTAATGCGTTTCATGCACATACATTTCTTGGACAAACACGTATATCCGAAACAACTATCCGTGGCAATAGTTGTCTCGTGTGGGAATCGAACCCACGACCCCCGGCGCCGAAGCCAACACCTTGGCAACTGCGACATAGTGCTTGTTCACGTAGGATCACATGGGAGCGGTGGCGAGTGCGGGCGCAGTAGACGTCGCGATCTCGTGTTCACGTTAGCCGCCAGGCGTTTGCGCGAGTGTGACGTGTTTTCAGAGATTGAAAACATGGACGACGATCTTTTATTTTTAACCGAATTCATACCTATTGTGGAAGATGCTAAAAATTAGAATTGGTGTGCAAGAAATTAATAAATAAAAAGAACGGTATGTTGAATTTCATACTTTACATAGTAATTTGAGAGAACATCCTTCAAGATTTGATTGGATATACCAGGATGCCTGTAACTGTTTTGATTACATACTGGATTCAATAAGAAGTGTCATTTCAAGAGAAGATATAAAAATCTTCCTATTATTTCTAGCGACAGGTTCAAATCGAACTGACCTGACGTCGCGAGTGAATAGCGCGTTCCGCCGCTAGTTCGACGTGAACACGCACAAACATCTCAAGCGTTTGAAAATGTCGCGAGCGCCGCGTGCGCACCAGTCGCTAGTTTGCCCGCTATTTAGACCGCATGTGCGTTTCGTACGTGAACACTCGGATACTAAGTCCTATGGCGCCAGTCGCTAGTTTGCCCGCTACTTAGACCGCATGTGCGTTTTGTACGTGAACACTCGGATACTAAGTCATATGGCGCCAGTCGCTAGTTTACCCGCTACTTAGACCGCATGTGCGTTTCGTACGTGAACATTCGGATACTAAGTCATATGGCGCCAGTCGCTAGTTTGCCCGCTACTTAGACCGCATGTGCGTTTCGTATGTGAACACTCGGATACTAAATCCTATGGCGCCAGTCGCTAGTTTGCCCGCTACTTAGACCGCATGTGCGTTTCGTACGTGAACATTCGGATACTAAGTCATATGGCGCCAGTCGCTAGTTTGCCCGCTACTTAGACCGCATGTGCGTTTCGTATGTGAACACTCGGATACTAAATCCTATGGCGCCAGTCGCTAGTTTGCCCGCTACTTAGACCGTATGTGCGTTTCGTACGTGAACACTCGGATACTAAGTCATGTGGCGCCAGTCGCTAGTTTGCCCGCTACTTAGACCGCATGTGCGTTTCGTACGTGAACACTCGGATACTAAGTCCTATGGCGGCAGTCGCTAGTTTGCCCGCTACTTAGACCGCATGTGCGTTTCGTACGTGAACACTCGGATACTAAGTCATATGGCGCCAGTCGCTAGTTTTCCCGCCACTTAGACCGCATGTGCGTTTCGTACGTGAACACTCGGATACTAAATCATATGGCGCCAGTTGCTAGTTTGCCCGCTACTTAGACCGTATGTGCGTTTCGTACGTGAACACTCGGATACTAAGTCATATGGCGCCAGTCGCTAGTTTGCCCGCTACTTAGACCGTATGTGCGTTTCGTACGTGAACACTCGGATGCTAAGTCCTATGGCGCCAGTCGCTAGTTTGCCCGCTACTTAGACCGCATGTGCGTTTCGTACGTGAACACTCGGATACTAAGTCATATGGCGCCAGTCGCTAGTTTGCCTGCTACTTAGACCGCATGTGCGTTTCGTACGTGAACACTCGGATACTAAATCCTATGGCGCCAGTCGCTAGTTTGCCCGCTACTTAGACCGTATGTGCGTTTCGTACGTGAACACTCGGATACTAAGTCATGTGGCGCCAGTCGCTAGTTTGCCCGCTACTTAGACCGTATGTGCGTTTCGTACGTGAACACTCGGATACTAAGTCCTATGGCGGCAGTCGCTAGTTTGCCCGCTACTTAGACCGCATGTGCGTTTCGTACGTGAACACTCGGATACTAAGTCATATGGCGCCAGTCGCTAGTTTGCCCGCTACTTAGACCGTATGTGCGTTTCGTACGTGAACACTCGGATACTAAGTCCTATGGCGCCAGTCGCTAGTTTGCCCGCTACTTAGACCGCATGTGCGTTTCGTACGTGAACACTCGGATACTAAGTCATATGGCGCCAGTCGCTAGTGTGCCCGCTACTTAGACCGTATGTGCGTTTTGTACGTGAACACTCGGATACTAAGTCCTATGGCGGCAGTCGCTAGTTTGCCCGCTACTTAGACCGCATGTGCGTTTCGTACGTGAACACTCGGATACTAAATCATATGGCGCCAGTTGCTAGTTTGCCCGCTACTTAGACCGTATGTGCGTTTCGTACGTGAACACTTGGATACTAAGTCCTATGGCGCCAGTCGCTAGTTTGCCCGCTACTTAGACCGCATGTGCGTTTCGTACGTGAACGAACACTCGGATACTAAATCATATGGCGCCAGTTGCTAGTTTGCCCGCTACTTAGACCGCATGTCCGTTTCGTACGTGAACACTCGGATACTAAGTCATATGGCGCCAGTCGCTAGTTTGCCCGCTACTTAGACCGCATGTCCGTTTCGTACGTGAACACTCGGATACTAAGTCATATGGCGCCAGTCGCTAGTGTGCCCGCTACTTAGACCGTATGTGCGTTTTGTACGTGAACACTCGGATACTAAGTCCTATGGCGGCAGTCGCTAGTTTGCCCGCTACTTAGACCGCATGTGCGTTTCGTACGTGAACACTCGGATACTAAATCATATGGCGCCAGTTGCTAGTTTGCCCGCTACTTAGACCGTATGTGCGTTTCGTACGTGAACACTTGGATACTAAGTCATATGGCGCCAGTCGCTAGTTTGCCCGCTACTTAGACCGCATATGCGTTTCGTACGTGAACACTCGGATACTAAGTCATATGGCGCCAGTCGCTAGTTTGCCCGCTACTTAGACCGTATGTGCGTTTCGTACGTGAACACTCGGATACTAAGTCATATGGCGCCAGTCGCTAGTTTGCCCGCTACTTAGACCGCATGTGCGTTTCGTACGTGAACACTCGGATACTAAGTCATATGGCGCCAGTCGCTAGTTTTCCCGCTACTTAGACCGCATGTGCGTTTCGTACGTGAACACTCGGATACTAAATCATATGGCGCCAGTCGCTAGTTTGCCCGCTACTTAGACCGCATGTGCGTTTCGTACGTGAACACTCGGATACTAAGTCCTATGGCGCCAGTCGCTAGTTTGCCCGCTACTTAGACCGCATGTGCGTTTCGTACGTGAACACTCGGATACTAAATCATATGGCGCCAGTTGCTAGTTTGCCCGCTACTTAGACCGCATGTGCGTTTCGTACGTGAACACTTGGATACTAAGTCATATGGCGCCAGTCGCTAGTTTGCCCGCTACTTAGACCGGATGTGCGTTTCGTACGTGAACACTTGGATACAAGTCATATGTTTGATATTTCGTGACCGCGCCCGCGAGTCGACGTGAACAAGCACATAGAGTCATCCAGTATTGAGCGTGCCGAACCTTCGCTGCAGCTCGACAGCGGTCCTCGACTTAAGGAACCAGTCGAAGCGGAACTGGGGCGCCGCGTGGACCGCAGCGCGGAGTTCCTCGTACACGTTCTCCTTGTCGAAGCCCAGCTTGTGCAGCATGCACACCAAGAATCTGCGAACGTCATAGTTAAATCAATATACAACATCGGACAAACAAATTGTTCATTTCGAATGACAGTGTAATTTTGTTGTTTTTTAGGGTTCCCAAAGGGTAAAACGGGACCCTATTACGAAGACTCCGCTGTCTCTTTTTTTTTCATATATGGAACTGACTAGCGCTTGACTTCCATCCCACCTGATGGGTATCATCAGTAAAAGCCAAAGTCTGTATGTCTGTCTGTCACCAGGCTTGTATCTCATGAACCGTGATAGTTAGACAGTTGAAATTTTCACAGATGATTTATTTCTGTAGCCGCTATAACAACAAATACTAAAAAATATTTAAGTGGGACCGTGCCGTTTTTATAGATTAGTATTAGTACGGAAACCTTCGTGCGCGAGTCCGACTCGCACTTGGCCGGTTTTTGTTTAATAAAAACATTTCATTTACTGTAGGTGTAGGATAATATTACTGTAGTATTGTAGTACCTGTTTTGTAAGAGTGTTTTACATAGATATATTATATTATATTTCACGTGGACAAAGACCCAGATCAATTCATCAACTCAATCAAATTATCAGAACAGTTATCTGTGTTAATCAAATAATTGTGTCGTATGGGAATCGCACCGACAACCCCCGGCGTCTAGGCGAATAGCTTGGCGGCAACTGTGTCTCAACGTCATTAAATACATAGATAGCTTCGGTATTATTCAAGTCCACGAAAGTCAAAGTCCATATTCTAAGAAGATCTTTAATATGTTTAAAACTGCCACAGGTTCACTAAATTAGATGTGGCCAGATAACATTCCGTATAGATTATAATTGGAAAAACATTTGAGACACTTCATTCACAGCTACAAAAGACGAACTGACTATAATTTAGATGCAGTGTGAGAGTTTAAGTAAATCAAAAAAAATTGTTTATCCTTTCACTTTGAAGACTATGAAATTGCAAATGTGACCATACAAAAATCCTGCCACTAGGCACGAATTTCAAATGATTTTTTGGAATTGCAATTTTTATTCACGGATTTTGAATTAAACAATATAACATTGGGAAATGGGTTAGTATGCTGTTAAGATTTAAAAATATATATATTCAAAGAAAATGATAAATTACCTGTCTTCTTCCTCCACATAGTTTTTGCCCTTGTTTGTTCCATATGAGATTCTTAGCTGATGGAATGGCGCTCTATAACGCGCCATTTTGGCATCTAATGCCTTCTTAATAGAGGCTCTTCTTTGTATTTTCGCTTCTCCTCTCTCTATCTGACCCATAATTCTATCAATGTCTTGAAGCTCATGGCATCTTTCCCAAAACACTGCTGAGTATTCCATAACCTTAAAAAATTATATGCTGTATGTAACTATTTTATGATTATTTAACGCCTAAATTGATATTTAACTTTTTTAACAATTTTCACAAAGGAATGTACAAAATCTAACAAAAACAAAATACCTCTTCTGGTGTCTTCCCTTCAACATCTTTAGCAATATTCTCAATATCGTCTCTGCCATACTTTTCGTTTGCCTTAATAAACTGATTAAAATCTCTTTTGGTCCAATTTGTAAAACCTGAAAAACATATATACAGTATGGGCAACAAAATATTAAATAAACCATGAAAATTTTAGCATTTCCATGTCCCTCTAGAAAACTTTATTTTTTAAAATAAAATTTAAATTGACGTGAAACTTAAAAGAAATCTTTGTAAATAAATAATCTACGAAAAAACAGAAACATAATCTTATCCAAAAAATTTCCTGCTTCATATACCTTGAGTTAGAAGCTGTTCTTTCTCCTGTACCTCCTCTTCTGTTAACGCCTCAGCATCATCAATCTTCCTTTGCTCCTCTCTCTGTATCTTAGCAGCATCTGGACCAAGTTCTGGATTGCGTGGCACCTTATATCTGTTAATTATTCAACATATTAGGGATACTATGGGATAATATGTAACAATTGTTAGAAAAGCTGATCATATTTAGTTTTTATTTTTAAAGAACTAAAATAACCAAATTATAAAGAAGCTGAAACAAGATGATTCTTGTCAGGATTATTTATTAAAAATATATGATATTATATCAAAATTAAAGTTAGCTGTTTTGTTTTATTTAATTAGTTGACTATAGAAGAATAAAACTTTGCCGTGTTTTTTACGTAATTAATATTAATTATTACTCTGCTTAATTTATTTCTTGAGCAAAATGCAGTGTAATAGAATGAAAAGTTTGGGCATGTGAACTTTCGTACACTTAATCTTGTGAACTTGCGCGGCCAATATATTGCCGAAAGTCTTCGGTTTCCAATAGTGAACTAAATTTCGACTACTTGCATTTTTCAAAATAATGGCCAGTCATACCAAATTTTTAGATCTTAAACTCACCCAAGGGTCTTTCTATAATGATAAATCTCTTGATCCAATAGCTCGAAAAGACGTGGCGGGAAGAATTGGAAGTCTTGAACTATCGGTTGTTTCGGAGGTCGCGGAGCCTGCGTTAAAAAATCGTCGTTTAAATATAATTAATAAACAATATAGTACACTACTTGCTCTTTAAAACTACCAATTCTTCTAACATAAATATTTAAAAAACATGCCATGCTGTATTATAGCAGTTACAATAAAGAAAATTATTTAAATATAAACTACTAAGCAGCTTACCTTTTATATGACTAAATACCACACCAAAGTCACATGAATTTACAAAAATTTATTACATATCTAAAATGAACTTTTTTGTACAAAAAATTCTAAAATATTAAAACGACTTTTAAAATATAGAGTTTTTCCCCGTTTTAAGTACATGCTGTGATATGATGTCCATAAAATAAAAATACTTAAACTATGATTAACATATAATGAGTATAAAAATTAATAGAGAATAGAGCAGTTAGGTAATGATTCCATGATAAAATATTAATCAAAATCCTAACTATTTCAGCTTAATATAAAAAAATAAACAAGTGCATGATTCATAATACATATGTGTTTATATTGAAATTGAATAACTGAAAGATATAATATAGAAAAGGATTACTTAGAACATTAAAACTCGAAATTATACATTAAATATTATTAGATATTAGGTAGAATATTAGGTAGATAGATAAATAAGGCATCTACAGCATAAAGAGCTAATTAAAGATACAGATAAAAAAATAATAATAAATAATACTATAATAAAAGTTCAGCGGCATACAGCGACATTTATCAAGATATAGATTGAAAACAACGATAAATAAAACGATATTAAAAGTTCAGCGGCAAACGGCGACATTTATCCATGGTTCTCCTTAGCTCTTTACACTTATTTACCTGTACCTTGGGCGCTTTGGGCTCGGAGACACGCAGTGCCTCACGGAAATACGCGTCCACTGCGTAGTTCGCCTTACGTTCCCTCTTAGGAGGCTCTATCCAATTACCGATCGGTATGATCTTCTGCTTCTCCCTGTAGTCCTCACCTATATTGGGAATTCAGGTGACCTCAAGTTGATTAATAAGCTACGACCGATTTTGTCATTACCATTCTCCCGCAACGTCAATATTTTTTTTGTTACGTTTATCTGTACAGCATGGACAAATTAGGAAAATAATAACTTTCACTTTTTCTTGTACGTTCATGACATAATCATACTTACCCGCCTAACATCTTTCGCTCTAAACTTTTATATTCCATGAATCTCCCACATACATCAAACTTTAAAGGAGAAAACAATCCAAAAGGCAACTTTCACCTTATATTATGCTGCAATAAAATATTTTATTACAACATAGCGTCTAACATAGCGTCAAAGAAAAATTATGAAAAAAGTTGATATAAAGTATGATAATAGTGGTAACAGGGCCCCTGAGGACCCATCAAAAACTTTATATTCTGCACCTTCAAATTGATAAACTGAATCTGTAGTTGCTCCTGGTGTATCCATTGAAAATGCCCTGAGCGATGACTCCCCGAGACTCTCTAACTTTTGCTTCAACTCTTCAGTCTGTAAAAATTTTTTTACATTGTATTTTACAATGACGGTATATTTAAGATACTGTGAACTTATTGTGGAATTAATTCTGGTTCATAAAAAGATATATACCTTGCTTTCTCCTTTAGCTAAAATGGTGTCAATATCTTCATCAGTAATCTCAGAATCCTTGGAGGAGAAGACATGGTTTGCACCGTGTCTGATCATGTTCAGCATCTCATCTTTGTTCAACTGGTTTTTAGTATCTACAAGGCGGCCAGACTGTATGACCAGTTTGTCTAAACGCAGCTTTACTTCTGCTCTTTCCACTATTTTCTCTTCTACAGTATTATCAGTTATTAGTCTAAAAACTCGCACCTGTCAAAATTAAAAAAAAAATTGTGTAATATAAGTTTATTGTAGAACATGTATTATGATATTTAATGTATGTTCAGCTATATGCGTGTCTAAATATGTATATTTAGACAAACATATAACAAATCAGAAATATATTACGTTCAGTAACATATATTTCAAAGGAAGATGATTTCTTTATAAATAGTGCACCGGGTAGTTCGCACAAGTAAAAGATAATACGAGCTTTATTAATATTGCTTTGATTTTTCACCTGTTTCATCTGTCCAATTCGATGAGCTCTGTCCATTGCCTGCAAGTCCATCTGTGGGTTCCAATCTGAATCGTAAATTATAACAACATCAGCAGATGTTAAGTTGATACCCAAACCACCAGCTCTTGTAGATAACATGAACACAAACTTTTCACTTCCCTCTGCATTGTACTCTTCAATTTGCCTATTCCTATCTTCGTGAGGTGTTTGACCATCGAGACGGCAGTACTAAAAAAGATATACACAAAATGTTAAAAAAATATTTATTCTAAAAGTTTAGAAAACAGTTTGTGTAGCATATTCAAATATATGAGTACTAGAAGAAAATAAGTATTCTTTATAACCCAACATAGATTAAGTTTTTCCATCGCAAAACTAAGTGTTACTATATACAGGGAGGCTTTTCTAAGTGTATCCATTTTTTTTTATTAAATTCTAGACATAAATAATGTTATATAAGAAATGGTAAATATTTAAAATCACTTGTAATTTATTAAATACATTCATTTGAACTTATCTCAAAAAGTGCGTGACTTATGGGCAACTCGTTTATTTTACGCGCAATCTTTCATAACTAATACGCACACATGTTCGTTTCAGAAGTATATGACGCATTTATGAATAACTACCGCATCGTCAAAAAGTTCAGTTTTTAAGGGAATGGAATGGCATATTTTTTTGAAAAAAAAAAGTTTGTTTTTATTTCAATAAACAATTATACAACTGAGTCAGAACCTCCTGTGTGAATTTGGGCACCTTTAGCCACCAAAAGTCACCCTGTATAATACAATTTAGTTAAAGTTTTATTAAAATTAAAAATTTAATGCACTACAGTAATTGCCAGCTAAGTAAAACACCTGTATGAACATGTTAGATATATACAAGCCCTTTATTACAGCCAGAGACTTACGCCCGGTTTATCAAACTCTGATCATCATAGAAATTAACTAATCAGCTGTCAAATGGCTTTTCAAATGTCATTTGAGTTGCCAAAGACTACCCGAATGGCGTAGTCGGTAGTGTACCTGCCTTCTGCGCCAGAGGGTGTGGGTTCTATCGCCACTACTGGAAAAATATTGTGTGATGAGCATAGTGTTTTTCTAGTGTATTGGTGTTTATATATGTATAATGTGTATTTATTTACAAAAGAAAAGTATGTTTAAGTATGTCTATCAGTTTTCTAGTACCCACAGTACAAGCATTGCTTAGTTTGGGACTAGAGAATGTTGTGTTAAAAGAATGTGTCCTAAATATTATAATTTATTACAATTTATACAATTACAATATCTACATGTTTTAATTTTCAATATTAAGTGCAGAGATTAGCACTATAAAAAAAAAACTTTAAAAATTTATCTAATATATAAAATTCTCGTGTCACAGTTTTCGTTGCCATACTCCTCCGAAACGGCTTGACCGATTTTGATGAAATTTTTTGTGCTTATCCGGTATCTATGAGAATCGGCCAACATCTATTTTTCATCCCCCTAAATGTTATCGGTAGTCCACCCCTAAATTTTTTTTTTATTTTTTAGACAAAATTTTTAATTTCTATTTTTTTATGATACAACATACAAAAATACATACAATCCTCAATTTTCACCGCTCTACGCAGACGTAGTCGCGGGCAGCAGCTAGTAATTTATAAAAGGATGGTTAAACACTTTGAACTGATCAGAATGATCAGATTAGTTAAATTCTACGATGATCTGTGTCGCAGAAAATGGGCGTTATCATCTAAAAAGATTTAGGCAATAAATCAAGTAATGGCTTAAAATTGAAATCATAAAAAAGTGCTATCCTGGACTTTTTTTAATACAATATGAAATTACTTTATACTGTCTCCAGAGACAATAGTCTTCGAGTATATCCAACATTCTTGTCATTTGTGAAAAAATAAGAACTCTTGAGCCTTGCTCGCGAAGTTTCGGCAACAATTTATCTAGAATCACGAGTTTTCCACAATTATACACCAGGTGTTCGTCAGTGGTGTATGGTGGTCCAGGTTCAGCTCCATCAAACAGATAAGGGTGGTTGCAACATTTACGCAACTGCATGAGAATATTTTGCAATCGCATTTTCTCTACCTTCCCAGCACCATTTACTGAAAATCACAAGAATATATGACCTCTTTATTTTGTAAAGCCATATTTACACATTACACTTTTAAATTGCTGCTTAACCGCTTTATAATGCAAAATCAATAAACTTACACAAGATGTATATAGACAACAAAAAGCATCTCCTTGATAAACCCTAATAGATCCTATTATATGTATATATATTTTTACTACTGAACCTCAACTTTCTCTAAAACATACCTTCTCACACTTCCATTCCCTATAAAAATTCCTTTATGATTGATTATAGCGACTATTATAACTGACTCGAAATTATAAACTAAAGAGTTTGTGATATTCACAAACTCTTTTTATATGAAACTATTTTGATGAAACTGATGCTGCAAAGTATTTGGAACTTCAGGAATTAAAAGCAAAAATAAATGTGATAAAAATAATTTCCTATAACAAAATTACCTTACTTTATAAGTAAGGTAATTTTTATCCCATTTCTCACTAACAAAAAAAGTAAAAGGTTTTATTTCTAGGTATTATATTTTCAGCAACTTCTTCAGAGACAAATTATACGAAAAATTTCTTACCTACATCAATGTCCTTCATAAGTACTTTAGTGTACCATTCTCTTTGCATTTTACTCAAACCTACGTAAACTTTGACTTCCTTCTTGGGTTTAAGCTTCTTCTCAACTTCTGACTTCAGACGTCTCAACAAAAATGGCCGTAAAACTGCATGTAACCGAGAAACTAGCTGGTTGTCACCAAGTGCCGCATTTGTATTAAACCAAGAGTCAAAATCCTGCAAATAGCAACAAAAAGCAAATTAAAATACAAGAATGTAATATATTGTAATGCTAACTCTATAATTAATTGTCATACTTACATCAGAGCTATTAAAAACATCTGGTAATAGAAAATTAAGTAGGGCCCACAATTCGTGTAGATTGTTTTGTAATGGTGTACCAGTCAAAAGCAATCTATTCATGCTTTTAAATTCACGAAGCAGCTCTGAAAGTTTTGATTTTTCATTTTTGATGCGATGAGCTTCATCTATGACCATGTAACGCCAATTGAACTTTTTGAATACAGATTTCTCTCTAATGATCATTTCATAGGATGTGATACAAACATCCCAATTTCCAGGCATCAGAGTTTCACGAATAAAGGTATTCTGTTGAAAAAATAATAAACAACTCATGGCACAGTTTTCAGAAGTTCACAAATAATTTGCAAATTTATGACTGCTTAAAATATCACAAATTATTTTTTCGCACATCTTTGAGGAACCATTACAACCATTGCAATTTTTTAATTATTAACAGATCATTAAGAGTGAATGGTTCCTAAAATCTATTTACTTTTGTACAGTTCAATCTATTTACTTATTAAAGAAAAATTACTTTTGTTGAAAAATTTAAACTTTGTTTACCCTTGTTTCTTGATCACCAATTAAACATACAGCTCTTAATGAAGGACACCATTTTTTAAACTCATTCATCCAATTTGTTAAAGTAGATTTTGGCACTATAACTATATGGGGCCCGGGAACATTCCTGAAAAAAAATTTAAAATATAATTTAAGGACTTACTTCAAACCAAATTGAGTACTTTCTTTAGTAATAGTAACTTCAATGTAACACATTATCTTTTAAGATAAATTTGTCTAAATGAAAAGAATAAGTGTAATGATTTGAAGATATTCTTGTAGCACCATAAAAGGTATGAGACCTTTTATCATAATAATTTATTATTTAGTAATGTTTATGTTAACTATCGGCCGGTATTCTATCTATCTGTAGATTTGATTACTAGCGATAGGTATTTGACATTAGCTCCATATCACTTACGTCAAATACTTATCGCTAGTAACCAAATCTACAGATACATAGAATATTGAAACTGGCCGTATAGGACTACATGAATAAATTTTAAGTATTGTTTTATTACAATAATTATGTCTTATACTTACTTAAAGTTTTTCATATAACCTAGAAGAGAAATGGTTTGTAGGGTTTTACCAAGACCCATCTCATCAGCTAAAATTCCATTAATGCCATTCTCATATAGAGAAATCATCCAGTTAAGTCCCCGGACTTGGTAATCACGCATTTCTCCATTTTTAATATATGGTGGTGAGGATTCAAATCGAAATATAGTTTTTTGCTTTGTATTTGTTTCAGCCAAAAGTTCTTCGTCTTCTTCTTGCTCAGTTTTACGATGACGATGACTAAAAAATAATAAGAACGATTTTACAAAAACCTCCAAAATGTCAGCTGCATCAAAAAAAGGATAAGAAAAAATTACAATCTCTGAATAACAACATATTTTTTAGCACAATTTTAGTATATGAAATCATTTTAGTATTTGGTAGCACGATTTTCGTTATGATTTTAATAGGTAGGTAATAAGTCATTGAAGTAAATACTAGTAGGATTTTCTGCGGAAACTTATAGTTTTCAAGAAATTAACTTTTCAAGTTTTATAGGTGAACTACTAGGAATTATTTAAAACAGTATTAATTCTTATTTCAGTCCAAGAGATTTACATACATTACATTCTAAAGCATTAAAAAGAGATACTTAAAAGTTATATTTCCTCTTAAAGCATGTTATTCCAGACCGATTTATTTTTGACTATTTATGGTAAACCTTTGCCTATAAAAACAAATGAGATCACTAAAATAGAAAATATAACAAAGGTAAATATATTTTTAATCGACTTTTTATTTCAGAAACTATATATTTCCGCACCCCCCAACCTACGCGTGCTAACGTATACTAAAGCTCTCTCTCTTCAAAGTTATATATTCCAAATGGTGGTAGGGTCAGCTTACCTTCTTTTTGCTCTCCTCTATACTAACGCAATATCACATAATATTTATATAAAACACTTACTCTCCAGCTGATCCGGGTAGTTCAGGTTCCTTGATTTTTTTAGGGCGTCCAGCTTTAGGTTTCGGCGGACTACTTCCAGACTTTGGTGTATTACTCATAAAATGTGAGAAAATTTCTGTTTGTTTCAGCAAAAACTCGAATCGTTTAGATCTATCAGTTTCGATTTTACTTTCAAAATCTCCTTCTTTACCCCTCGAAGAAGTAGTATCACTGGATGACCCGTTCTGAAATAAATAATTCACATATTTAATTTACAATGAACCCTTAAATATTATCTAAAAGTTGACTTAATACAGTTATAATATGATTCATGAAAGTATTGTAACGCACGGAATTCTCTCCCACTTCTGCAGCATCCATTGCTTCCTCGGTGTTAGCCATTGCGGTTTGTTTAAATTAAAGTACACAAAAAGTATTCCCCCTTTTTATTTATAAATAATCACGTAACTTTCATTCTTCGAGACTACCATAAAATTAAAAACTCCTCGTTTCTTAAAAAAATTCACCAGTATCACAGACCAGTAGACATATCCAGACCAGATTCACCTGTCATTTGATGATTTGACGCCGGGCGGGCGCGAAAATCACAGATAACAGATTATCTACTTTTTAATCTAAACAGAATGTTACTAAAAATCATATATATTATAAAAAATTCCATCGCAAGTCAAAAGCAAAATGCTACTCTCACATGCTCACATTTTGTTTTAATATTATACCGATATCATAGTCATGTAATTCAAACATATAAATTCTAATAAAATAACTTAAGGCCAAGGTATTGGCTTCAGCGTCGGGGGTCATGGATTCGATTCCCACACGGGACAACTATTTGTGTGACCCACAGATAGTTGTTTCGCATCTAGTTGTTTGTCCGGGTGAAATTTATGTTTGTAAAACGTCCTTACAACAGAGGATAAAGTTATCCTAAAGTAAGGGCAATGTTTTATAAAAGAAAAAGAAATATACTTGTTCTATAGATCATTTTACACAGAAAAGACTAAAAATATACTCAAGAAATTGAATCAAATTAATAAAAAAATATTGCCTTTATATCATGATCTCAGAGCAATTACGAAGGCTGAAATTGAATTGAATGTTTTCTAAGTAATCGCACTATCTCTCTCGCGTTTCATCAAACATACTTAGTTGTGCAAAAGAAAGAGACGACACGCTGCAATCGAACTTGGCATTCAAATCCACATCCGTCCGTTTTTATTCTATTAAGGTAGGACTTGCCACTGTATACAGCCTGTCTTTACAATCGCGGCAATAAATAAAGACACATATAGAAGATAACTTTTTAAAATTGTATTAAACATCAATATTTACCGAGTTATTAAATTTTCCAAAAAAAAATTTTGAACATCCTTCTTACGTATAAAACGGTAACGTAAAGTTCAGTTGTAAAGGTCACAAAGCATATGAATGGGTTGAATGGATTAAAAAGAAACAAAACATACTGTTAGAAAGAGAGGCTTGTAATGCGACGCTGTGGCAACGAATGAAAAGTCTCGGAATCGGAATATATGAATCAGTCAGTTGTAGTTGTATAGATTTTACAAATTTTGTTTCTTTTTTACTTAATTACTTAGTTTGTTTGAAAAATTTAAACGTTAATATTTTTTTATGATTATTGGCAAGTAACGATAGACGTGTGTTCATTTATTGTCAAAGAATACTTTTTTAGATCTGAAATCTATTTATTGTCGCGGTGGTAACGAGACACTGTATAATGTGGACAAATATCGAAAAATAAAAAAAACTAGTGTGCTATTAAGAAATAATGACTACTTTTTCTACAATTTACTAAAGACTGCTATTTAGATAAAATTAATGCTCTTATAAACCGTGAGCCCTCTGGCTAACAGCATACAAAATTCATATAAAACTGCAGATCCGTTTTGACGATAAAGGTCAAAGAACAAACATAGTTTCTCTTACACTTTTAGAATATTAAGAATGAAAGTTTGAGTATTAAGAATGAATTTTTTTTAAGAAAGACGGAAAGGATTTTAGGGAAAATAAAATCTCTTTATATGCTTATTTGAGTAAATAAAACAATAGGTAAAATTAAATAATTAATTTTTAATTTTGTATCAAAAATTGATTACTACTTCTAATTCTACACTTTAATATTATGGCAGCTACACTTAGCCTGCGGCCCGCGTGCTTTTATAGTGGGCCCATCTGCTGTAACTTCATTTAAAATAATTTTGGATGTCACGCCCATTCGAAGAACTTAAGAGTAAATAGGTTCTACGTAACACTACCGCGCCATAGTGCGTTGCCGTTGTGCTAGGCGGGCCACACTGAAAGTTCTTAGAAAATCATAAAACTACTCAATGTAGAATGGTGACTAAATATTTACTGTTGTCTGTTCCTCCCTATACATCGTCACTTTCGATGAAACCACTGAGAAAAGTCAATTCTTCCTAAGGGAGGTTCAAAAATGCCATATAGGAGACCCTATATGGCATTTTTGAACGCACTGACCGCATATTCAGGGCTCGTACAGCGAATACCTCGAAATTAGCCTTGATTCTTGGGAATAAATAGTCACAGGGCGCCAGGTCGGAACTATGTGACCGATGTCTGATTATTTCGATACCTGCCATTATTACCACGGATTATAAATTATCTTTATCAATGAAGTATTTATGGGGACTTCCCGTGAAATATTTATTTCTTTCAATACCTACCCTACATAGCTCGTTGAAGAGTAACTTTGTATATTGCACTATCATGTAGGTATTAAAGTTCATAGATGACTAAAAGTACGACTAATCTATTATTTCCTGAACTAAGATAAGAAATAGACATTTCATTGTGTTATGACGCTATCAAAGATATAGAAAAATGGGAATTGTTGTGATTTTATCCCTACTGAGGATATGTTAACAAGATTAAATTCTACGAATGAAACGAAAATTGAAGTGTCGATGAAATTGGAAGAGGAGTAAATTAATGCCTGTTAAATTTTTAAAAATACTATCCTTTTAATATTTTTGTACTATCTTTTTCATAATACACAACCCCGGTAATAAAGTGGTTATGTTATTATATATATTATTTTAAATTTACACTAGATATAGGTATTACATATTTTATTTTACATTTAAACTGGAATTTTATGTAACTACAACTTTTAATCTGTCTGTAACTTATAGTTACACAAAGGTGAAACATGAATCCATTTAGGATTAAAACCATTTTCTTCACTAATTTATCTTAAACAACAGCCATTGAGTTTCAAAGTTTCAAAATTATCTACACATATTCATTAAGAAAATTTCTATTTCCTTTTCAGAAATTTTCTATTTCCTTTCCCTTTCCACTGCTTGTTGAATTAAATGATTCAAATATGCGAGCTTTGCCTCTTTGGTTTTACATTCAAAAAATTTGTCCCACAATACCTGAAAGAATCATGAAGTCAATTTAAAATAGTAGTTGAAATTAATTCATATCGAAGAAATTTGTAGGTATATGGTTTCTCACCAACTCAGCATGATAGCCTAAGACCCTTAATTCCTTAAGTTTGCATTCAAATGGTCCAGTTGGTATCTGAGTGTTACGAATTAGTACATTTCTACCAGCAATTATTAATGCAATCCAAATTTTATCATCTGGTGGAGTTTTTATTAGGCCAAAGTGTTTGTTGTCAAATGTATTTCCAACTGGAGCCGCAGAGCCATCTTGGTTGTTGCAAAGTATTATATCTGTAATAAACATAATTAAGAATGTAAATTTGTTTAATTAATATCACCATATTTTTTAATGCAACCCACCTCCTCTTTGATGATGAGTGACAATGTGACCACCTGTTACAAAATCACTCCCTCGGGATTCCTTTAAGGTATTTAAAATATCTAAAATCATTTTATCTGTTACATTGTATTGTTTTGAATAGTTTGGATCAGGCACAAAATCTGTGTACTTTTTGGCCATAACTATTGCTTCTTTATCAGTAATTTGGCTAATACTATCATTATCTTTAAAAAATATCTTTACAATATTATGTAATGTTAGAATTTCTCTTCCATAGTTAAAACAATGTTTACCATAAGCTTTTTCCAAAAAAGATTTATTTAATACTGCTTTAATTAAATCTTCTGGATATATTCCTAACAAAGAAAGATATGATATGCAGCAGGCCAATGATCTACCATATGCATTTATTTCATTCTCTCGCTCTTGTTTTCTCAATTCATTTAACATATTTACAAAGAAATCTTGGAATTGAGGTTTATAATTAAATGTGCCAAAAACTAAGGCTAATCTTTCTAGATCTTTTAATCTAGCTTCAGATATGCATGCACCAACCTTGTTTGCAATAGCATCTAAGCAATCTTTATGTAAAGTTAGTGTGGAAGTTCCTAACAAACCTATATGAATATTACACATCACTGATAATCTGGGAACTTCATATTGCAATTTATCCAGCAACAAATAAATACAGTTATCAGTAGAAAATTTCATTGAATAACGAATTATTTTCAATAATGCAGCAAGTGAAATTTCATGGATTTGTGATATGTTTTCCATGATTTTATTTACAATATTTTTCATCAAATCCAAGTTTCTAATAGGGGTTTTGCTTTTGAAAAAGCCCATGGATATTATTGCTAGTTCATCAATAGTAAATTCATTAAAGTGATTATTGACAGCGACTTCTAAATTATGAATATCTTTTGGAGAATTTCTTCGTACCCCAATAAAAAACATAGTTTTTACTAGTTGGGAAGGTGATAAATTTTTGGCTTTTGAAGCTAATTTCAATAAACATTTATTTGAATAATCACTGACTCTTGTGACATTAAGCATGAAAAATAAAGTCAGATAATCCAGCATTTCATCATTAGACCACAGTGTTATTCTTTTCAGACATTCATCATCCAATGCTGCCCAAACTTCAATATAATTTCTGGTTCTAATTGATTCTGTTTCTGGCCACTTTAGTAACGAATAAAATACAGACTGAAGCTCAGCATCATTGGCATATGCCAATTTATCTGTTAAACTATCTATAAAATTGTCAAATATAGTATTTGATATACATAGTTTTTCTTTCCAACATAATGTACCCAAAATAGGGAATGTTTCAATGATATCACTATGTGTTTTCTTTGACCAATCTTGTAAAATAATATCTTGTAAAGATTGTGTTGGCAATAATAATGAGTCTTCTTTTAGGTTAAACTTGATTGCATATCCTTGTTTTTGCATTATATTATATGCATATTTATTTTCATTTTCCATAAACATTTTGACACATAATTTCGGACTATTGTGCAATTTCCTACAAAAGTTTAAACACTCTTTACGTTGAATAACCCCTAGCCGGTTTAAAAGTTGAGAGTGTGAAAAACACTGTAATATTTTAAAATTGTCATTGTTTAAATTTCTGATCCGTAAGCGGATTATGAATTTTACTTTTAGTTTCTTTAAAGATATGTTTCATGTACCTACTAATCAAAATAAAAATCACATTACGTTATAACTGAACAGTGCATGCTGTCTTAAGTAATAAGTATTGCAGCTTTCATATTCATAAGTTTTCTATTGGTTGAAGCAACCACTATCATAAACGCAAAAATAACTTTAAATTAACTACAAGGATAATATTTTAAGAGATTGTTATCAGAATCAGAATTCAGAAATCAATATTAGGTAATATTTTATAATCAGTTTGACTTTGTGACTTTGACGTATGTCTGTCAGTATCATTTAGTGACACTGACAGACATACGGCAAAGTAAAAATAGTACTGGATCCGCTATCGCTAAACTCGCACAAGTAATACTTGGGTAGTATTTTGAACTACAGTTTTTTTCTTTTTTTGCTTATTTTTCTTAAAACATTGCCCTTACTTTAGGATAACATTATCCTGTGTTATAAGGACGTTTTACAAACATAAATTTCACACGGAAAAACACCCATATGCGTAACAACTATCTGTGGGTCACACAAATAGTTGTCCCGTGTGGGAATCGAACCCACGACCCCCGACGCCGAAGCCTTGGCGACTGTGCGACGGAATGATCCAGTTTTTGTTACATACACGATGATACGCGGGACATTAACATTAATAAACTAAAATGACATTACGAAATAAAGTACCGCATTGTGTTTACGTACATTTTTTTAAAAATACGAAACTTCTTTCAAGAGATCCATATTTGTATGTCAATGTCCACATGCGGATTAAACACTGAGAGCGCTGTAGGCAAGCATCTCATCGGCGCCCCTACTTTAAAGCTGTAAGGTACGCATGGCATGTAAACCCCAAAATCAAGAAATTCCCTATATAATAATTTCTGGCATTACACGCCAGTCGAACTTTTTAGTGTAAATTAAAAAACAAGTTTTAAATTTTTCTTCCCGAAAACTATAAGGATCCAGAGAATTCTGCTTGTTGATTATTTCATGACTGATTTTTCTCTAAAATTTTTTGTTAAGTTGAAAAACACCCGGCCCTAATGGAAAAAATATCCATCTTGGTTAAATCATTCAGTGCAATAATTTTATTCTTGTGTTTCGTTATAAACAGTTTATTTTGCGACTGCTTCACAATTTTGTGGTTGTTTATAACTAGTAGGAATTTCATATTTCATAAGATCGACAGTAAACGTACTTTGAATTGCCTTAGAAGATTCAGAATCATCACTTTTGAAAAAAAACGTCTCAATATTTTTTGTTTCCTTTATTACATTACAATGTTTTTTTTTTCTTTCTGTATAGCCTTCCTTTTATATTCTGCACCACTAGGTTTTTTCTTAATTTACTCATTCTTTATGTAATAAACAAAAACTTTATGGACTAATAAAATACACACATAACACCGCAGCGAGAACGTAAACAACAAAGGGGCCAGAATTCAACCGAAATCTACTTCGACAGTTTTAGCTAGAAGTCAAAGATCGCGTATTGAAAAACGCCAAATCACGTAGAACGCTCTACTAGAAGACATCAAGTCTTCGCACACCGCCTATTGGCGGTTGGCCCGTAGTTTGAAAGCATAGCCCCGTGAATCCCTACCGCTGTTAGTAATAACTAATAGTGTTTTAATAGATTAGCCCTAGATTACTCTGAAAAAGCCGAATGCCTTGCGGAAAACCTAGAGCAGCAATGTACGCCATCGCGCGAACACTTCGATAAAGCCCACCTAACGGAGTTGGATCGCGTAATCGAACTTAGGGCTGCGCTATCACAGGTAGGTGAACCTTTAACCTCAGTGACCCCCGACGAGCTCCAAGATAAAATTAAAACTTTCAAACCCAAATTTGCCCAAGCCCAGATAAAATTAATAACAAAGTCTTAAAATCTCTCCCTGGGCCGATTTTCTGCGAACTGGCGACCATTTTCAACACACTTCTCTCCAGCTGTTCCTTCTCGGATGACTGGAAAGAGGCCACCGTTATCGGCATTCGCAAGCTGAAGAAACACGCTAATAAACCATCTAGTTATCGACCTATCAGCCTCCTTAATTGCTTAGGAAAGCTCTACGAGTGGCTCATATTAAATAGACTCAAAGAGTCTATTTTCAAACGCCCTTATGCCAGATGAACAATTCGGCCTTCGAGCTAGACACTCTACCGACCAATTATAACGCCTAATAGAACACATTCTGAAAGGCCTTAATCACCCCAAACACCTAAGCACCGGGCTCTCTTCTTCTATATTCCAAAACCTTTGGACAAGATCTGGCAACACGGCTTCCTTTACAAGCTGACACGCTTGTACAAGTTGCAAATAGCACAAAATAAGTTCATACGCCGCGCAACCGCGCAACCGCAACTCTCAAGACCACCGCGGGGCAGCAGTTACTCCCAGATCTGCCACCCCGGGGCTTGCTATAAGCGGAAGGTTGCGCGCGTAGGCCAGCCTCCTACGCCCTGGTCTCCGGCGGCGAGCAAGCGGCCCGGCGAAAATTGGTTCCACAAGGGTGTCGTCAGCGTAACACGTTACCTTGACACCCCTGAGGTAGGCGCCACGTAGCACCCAATCATACTTTATTTGTGGTTTTTTTTCACTGTTTTGTTTAAGTAAAATGTTCAAAACCATGGGTATTAAAACTTAAATAAAATGCGAAAATATCTGTAAAATAGTTTTATTCAATGTGGAGATTTCGCACAAACAACTAATCATATAGTTTTATATTTTGATCTAATTTTAAAACCATTCTTCAAGAGAATTTGAAAAACTATACTATACTTATTATACTATATATAAACCTATATTTTTAAAAGCGTTGGACTTGAAAACGGACTATGTTAATTTGGTTTCTTCCTGCATCTTTCGGAAGTAACGAAACGAATTATTGTTAAGTAAGAGCATTTGTACCTATAAGCTATTTTTGTTAAGTAAGAGCATTGAAGATGCAATTAATACCGTCGTTGAAAAGCACTTCTTCACTTTGCAAACATAAAATTTATATTTTATAAGTCATACATGATGATAGTTTGTTTTTTTGAATTTTACAATTATAGACATTAGAATTGTGAATGATGCAATTAGTTTTAATACCGTCGATGTTATAGAGTTTGCCCATAGATGGTAAAAGCACTTCTTCACTTTGCATTTTAACCATAAAATTTGCAGCAGCTGCAGCTACCTTCTAATCATCAATAAATATTTCAACAATACATGATGATAGTTTGTATGCGATCAGTATTATTATGAACGGGCTAATAAGCTTCAACACCCTTCTTTAGAACTTTGTCTAAACTAGACATTAGAGATTTGGAATGATACACACAGTTTATTAGTTTATAGTGCATTGATAGTTTTCGGGATGTTATAGAGTTTATATATTGAAATAGGTGTACAAACATCACACTTATTTTCTTATTGTTAAATTTGACCTAATTATGAACCTGCAATCATTTTTTCGTATCCTAATCACTTATCATCATCTGTGACACGTTATTTTGCGACAGAACAGCTTGGCAAATAAATTAAATAAAATAAAGACGAAAATAATAAAAGTCATATTATATTTATTATCTTTTAATGTAATTAATTTTGACCATTTTACAGGTTTTTAAATATTTTTTTATTATTCGTTATTATTATTATTGCACACAATGGTCAGATTGATCCCAACATCCAAGAAAGTGAGGTTTTAAGTAAAGTAACTTTATTTCTGCTGTAAAACCAAGACCGGGAATAGGTATTGGTCGGATGTTATCTTCTCTTTCTCTTTTTACGCCTAAATATACGTGCTTGTCCAGCCAACATTTTGGCTAAAAGAAAAAAAATTGTAATATCATGTAAATTACTTTACTTGGAGGAACTCAAAATATTTTCTTTTATTAATTTTACCGTATTGGTATTAATTAAGGAAGCTCTAAAAAACGGCCAAATCGTAGATTTACTATTAAGTTCCGAACAATAGTTACGCCAAATATTCCAATAAATCTGAAAACAATCACATAGCTACTTATACTTATTTTCTCTACCAAAATCCACAATGCCACCCTCGATGCTACCTATTTTTTTAAACATTGACCTTACTTTAGGATAACGTTTTCCTGTATTAAAGTATCTTCTTATAAGTATATCCAGTATTTAAGGACATTTTATAAACATTAATTTCACGTGGATAAACAACGAGAGGTGAAACAACTATATGTGGGTCACACAAATAGTTGTCCCATGTCGGAATCGAACCCACGACTCTCGACGCCGAAGCCAATACATATGCGACTGCGCAACGGGGTCATCGTACATATTAAATATCATTAACCACTATACTGTTTTTCGAACAGAATATCCGAATAAATTATTAGGCCTTTTGCGAAATAAAAAGTAAGGCGACTAGTACGCTTCACCCGCAGCAACTGTTTGTTGGATAATATGGTTTTCGATATTTGTCTCAGGACTTAGGACTTGAGCCGTGGCAGCTTAGTGTCCGGCCACTCGCCTATAATTCAGTATAATCGAGCGACCTGAGTTCGATCCCCGGTGCCGGCATCAATGAAATTGTTAATTTCAAGTACTGAATTATCACGGGTTCAGCGGTGAAAGAAAACATCGTGACGAAACCTCAAGTTTTCTGAAATAATAATATTTTCACAAAAATATTAATATTTTCAAGATATGTGAAGTCCGCAAATCCGCAGTGCGGCCGCGTGGTATGCCCTGATACCCTCTGTACAGAGGAGGCCTTTGCCCAGCAGTGGGAGTATAGGCTGAAACTTTATTTTTTTAATTATGATAGGTACAATGTCGTTATACTCAGAGTTCGAAGAAAGCCAAAGAAAAATCTACGGGCTTTCCACTTTTAACTAACTTTTACTTTCTTTATCCCCTCCTTTAGCGTCGTTACAAAAAATAAGGCCCTTATAAACCTCCAGAATAATAATAAATTTACACTTAAGGAATTTTCAAATCGATCTATTAGTTTCTGAAAGTGGAACACGTAAATGGTGGAATATATTCTGTAAAACATAAAGGTTTATTTTTTGTTAATCTTTTCTATTGTTCCATTTTAAAAAGTAAAAGATATACAACCTTACGTTTTGGCGTGTCTGATATTTGAAAATATCTCGTACCGTTTATAGTTATAACTTTAAGTGTCTTTCGCGTATGTTGTTTAAATACAGATATTTTCACTACACCAAGTGGATATAAACTGAAAAGTTTTAATTTTTTCTCGTATTTTTGTGAACGTAGTTTATATTTTTTTTGGGTTTTGATACAATACACTATCGAAGCCACTGCAAGGTTTTTATTCGATAACCCTGAAAATAGTAATAAATTCCTCGTAAATTTTACTACTAATACTTTAAATTTTAATGCTATTGATTCACGTAGGATTCAAAATGTTCATCGTATGGTAAATGATCACTGCTAGCCGATTTTGGTTACTACAGAGGGGTGGCAGATACACTTATTCATCGGCCTAAACATTGTATTCATGTCATTACAAAAATGCTGGTTTTGTTCCTTGATCTCGTAAACCGATAAAAAATTGATTAACGGAAAATATTTTTACCAAGCACAACTGAACGTAAATATTTTCCTGTTCGTGTGGTTTCGAGAAATGAACTTTCGATCAGAATTATCTCATCAGCGACCTTAAAGTCTTTTGAGAGTAGCTTCTTGATTTGTTCATACATCATAATTATTATTATAACACTTTACCGATACAGTGATATCCTTCCGGCATCCATCAATTTCGAGATATTTTGAAACGTGACAATGACATCTGAAAGCATAGCTTACTTATTATTTTATATGTGTTAGAAGCCATCAGTATTGAGTTTTTATGGTCCATAGTTTAGATAAGATACTTCAATATAAAGTTTCAAAAGAAGAAATAAATAAGAGAAAGAGAAGAAAGAAGAATAGAAAAGAATTAACAAGAATTCGTATAAGTTCGTATAAGTTTATATTTGAAAAATGAGGTAAAAATGAAACATATTTGCATACACACTCTTTTTTATTTTAATGACTTAGGTGTTTGACGCAAGCTTTTATGGTTTCGATACAAAATTATACATAAATCATCGCAACACAATAGAAATTAAATTCGTTTATATAACAAAACGAATTTGTGTTTCCTCTCCTAATTTCATTACATTAACCTAAGAATAACTTTGGTTGAATTTTATTAATTTAACCAAAATGATTATAATCTCTCCATACATTTTTCATATAAATTCCATAAATTCATTAAATTAATACAAAATTTCATGCAATTAAAAATATTTAATGGAAATTACAAAATTTATATGTTATATCATATTGCAGAATTTGAATCAAAATCATAACTAATATTGACATTATGAATTGGACGGTATTGTTTAAAGACGTAATTTATATAAAATTAAGTTCATCTTAAAAGTTTTGATTAACACATTTTTTATGATTTTATTCGTTTAATATGTAAATAGTCTTCTTTACTTAGAATTATTTGATTTTACGATGCTAGTTAATATAGAAATACGCAAATATTCATAAAGTTAAGAGTGTTAGCACTACCAATTTCCTATTAATAAATAATTTCGCAATAAAACATTAAAGCGAACGAACGGTCATCGCCCAGCGTCAGCCTGAAAACAAAAAAGTCAATTAAATAGGAAAATGAAATTGCAAATAACAATAAATGAAATGAATGTTACTAAAGAGAAAATGAAACCCAAAACAGAAAAAAATGTTTTGTCCTGTACCTACATAAAATTTTATGTAGTCTACTTACTGTGTACTTATTATGTATATGAATAATGTATATGTATATAAAAACGCCAGTTTCCATAAACATAAATAGTTTAATTCAATATTTTTTTTGTGTTTATACAGGGTGGCTTTTCTAAAGATGCCCAAATTCACACGGGAGGTTCAGACTCGGTAGTATAATCGTATATTGAAATAAAAACAAACTTTTTTTTTTTCAAAAATTGCGTTTCTATTTTATAAAAAACAGAACTTATTGACAATGCGGATGTCATTCATAAATGTGTCATATACTTTTGAATGAAATTGTGTGCCAGTGTAAACGTAGTGATTACATTCTCTTTGTTGGTTGCGTGTTAGTTATGAATAATCGCGCGTAAAATAAATGAGTTGCCATAAATCATGCACTTTTTGAGATATGTTAAAATGAATGTAATTAATTAATTAATAGCGAGTGATTTTAAATATTTATAATTTTAAAACATGTAGAAAAAGTACGAAAAGATTGTCGCCGCTGTGGGAATCGAACCCACGTCTTCGGCTTTCGCGGCCTGACGCTCTAGCCACTGAGATAAACGGCTGATAGCCACAGCAACGAAAATCTTATCGCCTTCTTTCTACATTGTTATTTAGCATTCGAGCAATGCTTGGCGCATGTATTGTTATATCCTTTCCAGCATACAAACAATTTCGAACATCGTTTTACAACGATAATTCGAACGTTACAACGTTAATTTCTACATGTTTTAAAGTTCAATCTTAAGTGCAGAGATTAGCATTATAAAAAAACTTTAAAATTTATTTATAATTTTTTATATAACATTATTTATTTATGTCTAGAATTTAATTAAAAAAATGGATACACTTAGAAAAGCCGCCCTGTATATGCACCGTTTTAGCATGTTTGTGTAATCGATACGCAATTCATTTTAAATAAAACATTGCCGCATTGCTTATTGTATAATACAAATGTTTTAAAATAGGTACCTATGTTTTATTTAAAATTCTACTAGAAATTTTAAATATGACATGCATTTCTGGACGTGAGTCAAAAGTTAATAATGATAATTATATGAACCAACCCCTTAAATTAAACTATAAGTTTAATACTTTAATAATATTGGACACGTATTTTTTTTTTAATTCTTAATAATTTGTTAGTAAAACTTATGTTTTACTAATAAATAACTGATAAAATACCTAAACACCTCCACCACGTTATTAAAATTAAAGTACTCAAGATTTCTTAATGAGTTTCGACATAGTTTGTGAATTGTGTATAATAGAATAAGGAGTGAACAAAGCACTTTCTTATTAAAGTATTGGTGAAGTTTGTAAAGTGCATTATTATTTATGTTATCTTACATTTCATACGTATTTGTTTTTACATATTATATGTAATTGTTACGTCATGGTCGCACAAGTAGGAAGTTATGAGCATAGCAGGCATGGGTTGATCAATATTTTGGTTTAGATACTTTAGGTATTCTGATGGTCGGTGACAGCGGTAAGATATTATTGCCATATCTGGCGTGAAAGTTTTTATCTAAAGACGCGGCTTCTTTAGCAATCGCTTTCTTATTTACAGACATATTGACAGTTTTATCCTGAAAATGATTACTTTTTAGGTATTGAAATTTACGAAAATAATGATTATCACATAGTTGGCGTTTTAAACAATTCAGGGATTTCTATTCATTTACTTACCAAGGCCTCAGTCTTCTTACGTAAATTAGACCTAGAAAGCGTAAGAGCCAATTCCGATTGCAGTCTACTAGATATTGGTTCGTTGTCTGGTACTATGTGACCATCCACTTTGTCACCATTAAGAAAATCTAATTTTAACGGTTCCCGTCTTCCAACATTGTTAACGTATTCTCCAATTGTGACAGATACGGGTCGTGTAATTTTCTTCATGGTAGCAGTGCCGTTTGGTGCCTTAACGAAGTAATTTGAAGGCGGTTTCGGTTGCACATGGAGGGGATTTTTCAATTTGTACGATTCAAGTGACTCAATCTCGGCGTTTTCATTTTTTATATTCTTTGATGTATATAGTAATTGGGCGTCGATTTTTTTGTTATAATCTGGTGTCGGCGTTCGATTGAGCGCACATGCCTTTCTAATATTCGAATTAATAACGAGATCAAATTTTTCTGGTTTTGGCTTTTGATTCTCTACGCTTTTACTCTCTCCGTTTTGATGGCCATTAGTAATAGGCATCTGAAACATGGAAATGTATCGTTAGATATTTGATTTTACATATTAAAGATAATAGTTTATATCAGTTTAATAGTAGCACTGTTCGCCATAGAAAATTATTTGTATTGTGGTTAAGAGTATTTAGTTGCCTCTGTGAATACTAGAAACCTAAAGAAAAATCTATCAACTTTTATGGTTGATCATGAAAATATTCATTTATTGAAAATAATAACTACATGTTTATTATTTTAGTGCAAGGTTCATACGTATGCATAGTAATTGATTTAAGATAAGAGTATTGAAAAAAAGATCAGAACATTTTTATAAACCGGTTAAGTGCGAATCGACTTGCGCACGAATGGTTCGGTACTATTATCAAAAAAGACAACAAAAAAAATATCATGTCTGTTGTTTGGGAGCCTCCACTTAAATATTTTTAAACTGTTTTTTAGTATTTATTATTATAGCGGCAACAGAAATATCATTATAGTCTGTGAAAATTTCAACTGTCTCACTATCACGGTTCATGAGATACAGCCTGGTGACAGACGAACACACAATAAACAGAGGTCTATTCCCTATTTTAATTTAGTCCCTATTATTAATAGGGTCCCGTTTCACCCAAAAATAGGCTATAATTGAAAAGAAAAATAACGTACTGGAGGGGGAGGTGGTGGATTATCTGTGGTTTCTTTTTGTTTCTTCACTCCATTGCTAACCGGATTCTCAGTCACAATCGCCTCAGGTTTTCTCAGCTGCATTGTTGGTTGACGGTCCTTTAAGCAGAACGAGTGAATCGATTACATTTTACATTTGAATTCATTACATATTTGAAACACTTACATGATAAACACATAATTTTATTGACATTACCCAAAATTAATAATAATTTATGGTAATGTCTATAATAATTACCTCCGTTTTATGACGTGTAAAAGACAACAAGAAAAAAATTACATGATTAAAAAAATTTTACAGTTAATACGATAATATTTATTAATCGAGATTAACATATAAAATAAAAGTATTTATTTACACAGTCCAAGCCTAAAATTAGTTTTAAGTGTGACACGCAAAATAGGTATGGTTAGTGTTTATTAATACATTGTAGAGCTGCCGTCGCCGGTCAGTAACTAAAAATAAGATCGAAAAAATGCAGTTTAAGCGTTTAATTTCATTGCAATTGTTTTATATGAGATGGCGATTATTTGATTCGCCTTTCGATAGGTGATCACAACCACTCATGGGAGTGTATACACTTGCAATACACGGTGCATACCAATTGAATAGCAAAATTGTAAATACTTCTACTTTTTTTACTTCACGATCGTCTGTCAGATCGCGGTACTTCCCCCGACTTAACCAACTAAACTAGGAAAGTACCTACTTTGATAAACGCAATGACATCATTTCGTCTTTTCTTATGAAATTCTTGAAATGAACCTTTTAACGGATTTGATTATCATTTTGCTCCTTTTCTAGAAAAGTATCCCTCCGTTCGAGTGTTTTATCTGTTAGCATGTTTGTAACTCGAGACTCAGAGTAGAGAAAACATTGTGGAGAATTGCACGAATTGGCTCCATAGTGGAACGATTTGCCAACGTCAGTTTTTCCGTCCGAATACAATGTTCTTTTTTACGCTAAATCCAGCCAATGCTTGCCTACCGTCTCCCCTTATGGTAATTAAGGATGATATCATAGAAGACACTCCCATTATAATCGAACGGGAAAACGACTCGAACCACTGTTCCGCTACATACATCCGCTAATATCAATCACGTCAGTTTTCAATTAAATATAATATATATCATCAGTCCGTTTAGTGGTAAAATTGTGCGTAAGCTACAGTTACGTAACAAGAATTAGAATCGTGATCTTCAACAATGTAGGTCTCTGACATTGAACTTTGCAGTACATAAATATTGAGGCTGCAACGCGAAATACTTAAAGAACATGCGAATGACGTAATTTTCATGCGCCAGCGCTTAACCAAAGGATAACGACGCATTCGTACAATACCTAAATGGAAAACGCAATTACTCGCGAACGGTGACATGAATTGCTCAACAGCAATTAACAAGACGAGATTCTTATATTTAGGGCAACTGATGTATTAGTAATGTATGAATTAGTTGTAAAACAGCCATAATAAATGCGTATCACAATACATAAGAGTTACGTATCCCTAAGACGTCCCTAACATTTCAATGACATAGGTTTATTATTAGTTTTGGATTTTGTTTACAAACATTTGAACAATGGAAACAATATTGCGCTTTAAATCCAATAATAAATATGTGTTTTAATATGTACACAAAAACTAGATAGTGTAATCATACTCATCGATCGCAAGCACTCAACTGATAACTTCCAATGAGTTTAACTTATTGGCAGAAACAGGTGCGTTTATAGCATTTTCCTATCGACCAGTTATTTTAACATAATTTTAAGATGAATGTAATGAATATTGAGGAATATAAACAAAATCATGATCGAGCATATCATAATTTTTCGTCATTAAATATTTGGTCCTTTGGAACATGTCTCCGCTTTAATTACTAAAAGAAATCGAACTTCGCGCCCAATTTACTCACTTCGTAACACTGAATTGTAAAGATTGGCTTTGTTTTATCATTTTTCTTCATTTTAATTGCAACAGCCACAGACCACTTGCACAGAACAATTGCACATTCGCGTCGGTACGTAACAAAATGCACTAGCAACTTGGATTATCGTTCAGCCGATTAAGCATTTCGCGTAATGGTCTCCATTTTAAATGTGCATGTAGAGTCGTCCTCGCGTTAAGTTGAGAGCGCGCGAAGGTCGTGGTGAATTTTCCCGAAGCGAGGAAAATTTGTGTTCGCTTGTGTTTTTTTAAACAGTTCGCGAGTACCTCACGGCAACCGTTCACCGTGAGTGCTAGCAGGTAACTGACAGCGCTGAGCCAGTATAATGTTGGTACGAATCGGACACCTGAGCGGGCGGGGGACGGGCGAAGGTGTTATCAGCGCGGCCATGCCGCTTCGTGCGAAATCAGTGCTTCAACGCATCCACGACCGCGGTATCGACCGTTCGAATCCGATCAACGGTGGTGACGACAAAAAATTGTCGGTCAGTAAACACGGCCGTCGGCGACCGCAAACGAGCGTGAACATGTCTCGGGTGCGATATTGGAATAACTTCACTCCCGACTAACGGCTTAACTCAGGAACGTCGATTAGGAATTAAATAAGTTAATTTAAAAAATAAGAATAAGTTACTTAAAAAAGAATTGATTCTTTGTCAAATAGAGTCTTAAATTTAGACTTACTTTGCAAATGAACGAAGTCAATGCGCGTCTGTTTACGTGGCTACCATTAGTAACTTACAGCACAGATGTTAATTATTGGCCAGTGGTATAGTTATAGTGAAGAAAATAATATAAAACAAAAACCGAACAAATTATAATTAAATGATGAAATGTATACATTTTGAATCATTTAAAAGTAGGTACCTATAGTGAAAATTTAATGTAAATGAAAAACTGTTTTGTTTGCATATATGTTCATATGGAAATATAATGATAACGTGAGACCACATCCGAACTGAATGATTTTTTGTTAATGAAAATGAGTTACCGCGACATCTTTATATAATGAACTAGCGACCCGTCCCGGCTTCGCACGGGTGCAATGTATTACACATATAAACCTTTATTTTGAGTCACTCTACCTAGTACAAAAACCGCATGAAGGTCCGTTGCTTAATTTTAAAGATCTAAGCATAACATAGGGACAGACAGACAGCGGGGGACTTTGCTTTATACTATGTAGTAGTTTAGTAACACTAACGAAGGATTAATCTGCGATTAGCGTACGAAAGAAGCGTCCAACCTATTATGATCCCCGACGGTCAAAGAAGCAGCCTTGAAGAGGGCGATGCCTCGGACTTTTAAAAAAAAGTTGCGACTCCGACATGACCCATCCCCGCCTTCGTAGGATCAAAGTAATCAGAAGTAAATGACATCTCTTCAGGTAAAAAATGCTTCGTACGACGAAATCATGAGTTATACCAATGTCTTGATTCCATCCATTAAATTACAGCTGTAATTGTGGAGAGGTTTTAGCTTTCCGTACATTATTACTGATAACATAATTACTACTAACACATTTTGATAAATATGGAAATAGCCGAAAATAAAGGTCGACGAAAAACAAATTATGTATCGTAGCATCGTAAAATGTGTTAAATAATCTGAACGCTCTCTAGTTGGAAAAAACAGTCATTTTCAACCATTGTTAAGCAATTATCAACTTGTATTTCATAATTTTACGACCTACTGACGAGTTGTGAGCAAGTCTTATGTATGCACATGCTGGCTAAATCATATGCTATTTAAGTTGCAATTAATAACAACAAAAATATCTGGGTGTCTACGCTCCAATAAACGGTGTTATGTAAAAGACAATTCAACTCGTGAATACTTGTCATGTCCATTACGTAAGTTATGGCCACTGGAGAAAATGTATATTTAAAATCCGTGTAATGACACAATTTTTTGGTGGGATTTGATATGAAAATAATGATTTTAGAATGAACCATGAATAAAAAATATTGATTGTTACATTTATAGAAGGTAATTCCCAAACTTAGATTAAAATTTTTATGTCCTGTAAAAGTAAAAAGTAAAGTAACAGCCTATACATGTCCCACTGCTGGGCAAAGGTCTCCCCTGTACAGAGGCGATCAGGGCGTAGTCGCGCCGGCACCGGGGATAGAACTCAGGTTGGTCGAGTATATTGAATTAAAAGCAAGCGCCCGGACACTGAGCTATCACGGCTCTTATATGTAGGCTCCTGTATGTTCTTATTTTTCCAACAACTGTATTACCCTACAATACATTACATCGACGTTCCTTTATTATTGTTGTAATTATATTTATATTATTACATTTAAGTTTCTGCTCTTGCATTCTCAGCATACATATCAGTAAATGTAACCATAACAAAAGGAAAAACTTCAGTAAGTTCTACATTTCATCGCTTAAAAATGTATTAAAATACCTATTGTATTGGATTTTCTACGGTCACGACAAATGGCAAGTTTCGCAATACGTCAAAACTTGTGAATTACAAAGATATTACTTTTAGCGAATACATTTCTTCGTGTACATAGTTTTTTTATATAATCAAAAAATAATCTTATATATAAAAATGGATTGCTGTTCGTTAGTCTCGCTAAAACTCGAGAACGTCTAGACCGATTTCGCTAATTTTGGTTTTGAAATATTTGTGGCAGTCCAGGGAAGGTTTAAACGATGAGAAATTATGGAAAATTTGCATGGAAAATTGAAATAGCAACAATTTTATTTTCCCATATAAATTGTTCCTACCGGTAAATCTTATCCTTTAAACGAATCGGAATCTCGGAAACGGCTCCAGCGATTTGATGAAATTTAGTATGTGTGTAGATTCGGGGGCCAAAAATCGATCTAGCTACGTTTCATTTTTAGAAAACGTTCTTTTTTCTTTGTTTTCCGGGAATGAAAAATATCATTCGAATATGACGGTAAAATTCGCCGCAAAGAAAATTATGATAGCTCGGTCGGTAATCGGGCGGCCCCAAAACAGACGGCCGCGGTTCGTATCACGATCATTTATACACTTATTTTTTTACTTTTTTTTCTATACCAGATCATTTTCTTTATTTTTTATTTCCAAATTACATGATTTAACAAAAAAATAACTAACAGGTATTAATAATTTATATGGCAAAACAACGTTTGCGGAGTCAGCTAGTAACTTATAAAAGGATTCCCCAACTTAAATTAAATAAATAATTTAACAAATAATATAAATGACTATAGTAAGATCGTATCGCATTAAAGAGCCCAAATAAAATCATTTTGTTTCTCACTAATGCTTGTAAGCATTACGCTTTTAAACTTATCGTAAATGGTCTTAAAGATTTTAAACATTAAATTTTTACATTTTTTACACCGTTTAAAAGTTATATACTTTAATAAACAAATTCCTTACTTCACTTATTTAAGTATCGTATAAAAAATAAGAGTCAAACTTTTACCACAAAAGATAATTTATATCCTATTGATGACTGACAGTGAATCATAATTACTTTAACGAGTTAATTGGTCTTTTTTCATCACAACGTGTGTATTGATAAGTTTTAACATGTTGATTTGATAGTATTTAATTTTATTTTAGTGCTAAAGCTTCATAATTTTGATTCTATTAACATCAAATAATCCATTTTTTTCAGTTTAACAACGACCTTAATTACATCATATGACATTACAACTTCGATTTGATTAATTATTATTTGATTAGTTATAACTTTTAACAATACCGATTTCTTAAATAATAAACCTTTGTACAGGAGACAGTTCAATATTTCAATATGTTACGCTCGAATTAAATTAGACTCTCACATTAAAAATAACGCCTTGCCGAACGGAGAACTTGGGAAAAACCCATCTTTTATTTCTCCGCAGTTCGTCAGCGTTCAAGTAAAAAACGAAATAAAAACTATTTTGGATTTACACAGGCACTTTTTACGGTCTCAGATTTGACGTGCGGGAATATAATTGATGAGGAACAACAACCAATAAGTTTTTTATATAAATACGTGGTACCTAATGAAGGCAATCTGCAATGTTACGTATCATTATGATTCAGAACACTGGATTTTTTCGATTTAAAATTCGGCTATAGCAAGAAATAAGACGAACTCAATCAATTCTCAATCAATACAATATATTGATTGTTTTAAATGAAAGTAAATATTTTTCTTTTAAGGGCAGTAAAAGACTACTCATAACCACCATGAGTTTTGATGGTGGGAGTTGATAATTACCACATTGCGTCGGGGCCGTGATGACACTTTGAAAGTACCGAGATTTTAACTAGCTAAAACCCCGAAAGTGTTTCTTTGCAAGTGTATTAACATATACATGTAATAAAATTTGTGATATCTACAAACGACTAACTGCAAACAATGTCTAACATTTTTAAAAAGCTACCCTAATGGACAAGGCTTATTACAATATCGAAGAATACATTGAGGACAAGGACGTGTGGAAATGACTCTTGCTCTGCTCTTGCAAGTCCCTGGCTGCTGTTGATTTTATATTTTAATTTTTGATAAATACACATTCGTATATATCAATAAAAAAGAAGAACAAGACTGCAGGTGACAGCAAGCTGCCAGCAAAATGCCGGTTCTGGACACGTCTAAATTAGTGAACCGATGGTAATAGGTAGGAATAAAATGAATAAACAATTTTTACTGAGTTTCACTAAGATTAGACATCCGCAGTAGAACCAAGATAAGCAAGCTGAAGTGGCGATGGGCCGGCCATATAGCTCGTAGAACCGATAACCGTTGGGGAAGAAAGGTTCTCGAGTGGCAGCCTCGTACTGGCCATCGCAGTGTGGGACGACCCCCCATTAGATGGAGTGACGACCTGTGCAAATGTGCGGGAAGTCGATGGATACAGGTGGCTCAGGATCGTACTTCATGGCAGTCTGTGGGGGAGGCCTATGTTCAGCAGTGGATTCAAACACGCTGAAATGATGATGATGATGATGATGATTGACTACGATTTAAATCATAGGTTTCTTTAATTTTAAATGAATTTAATTAGATTCGACCTTCAACATAGAAAAAGCAACATTAAAATAAGGATCGTGAGCGTGCATTAAATTGTATTCCGTTATATAATTTGTGTAGAGGTAAAATTATAAAGAACAATTAGACTAATAGCGAGCGTTAGAGAATTGAGGAACCATGATTTAATTAACAGTAATTTTTTTGGAGCTTTTGTTGGCCGTGACAAATTTTCGTCCAATAGTATAGCAAAAATTTTATATTTAATACAATGATATATATGTATTCTAGTGGACTCAAATAGGAAACAAATAGTTCAAATACCGAAAAGGTTGAAATTATTTCCGCGATGCGAGAGTTTGCTCGTAGGATGCCTATTTTTTTATCTGCATTAACGATTACTAAAAGTAATAAATAATGAGGGGATCTTGACCAAATTCGAAAATAATACCGACTTTATATCTGTTGTGTAGTATATACAATACATTATAAACTACTACTTATTGGCTCGAAAACCATAACCTACAGTTAATTATGAAATAAAAATTATGAAACTAAAATTTATACAATTTAAAACATATAAAGATCCCATAATTGAATCACAATTTGAATTATAACGATAATCGTTGAAAAAAGTAGAGTCATTTAATGACCAAATTGAGGTTTAATTATCGACTTAAATATAAACTGGACAACATATACTGAATATTTAAATACTAAAGAACCTATGCTCTCTTCCAAATTAAATACTGTACAATCACCAAATTAAATACTGTACAATCACTTCCATCTTGTACGCCTACTCATGGCTTATTTGCGGCGTAATGAATGCTTCAGTGTTGACACTCAGAACCTATTTATCATCCGAAAAAAGCGCATAAGGATTCTTGCCGAAATAAAAAACAATTCCAGTTGTAGATCTTATTTCAAGTAACTGAAAACATTACCTTTATCGAGCTTATATACACAATATTTCTGCGTTTTTGTTTTTCTCATGGTAATATTTTTAAAAGAATATCAAAGTAAAGAATAGCATAAATACACACCATAAAAATAAATTATCTTTACCATAATTACCTTTTATCTCTTATCATTGTCAGCTGTTTCAAAATTCATTAATTTGAATTAGTGTTAAGTTTATTAAAATTGGTTCCGTGGTTCCTCTGGTGATCGATCCGGATACGGACAAACATTTGTTTTATTTATCAATAATATTAGTATAAACTATTTCTATGAAGTAACATGAAATACAATGGTCACATTTCGAAACAAAACTACATGGTTGAGTAACGCCTAGAATTTATGTATTAGTCACGATCCTTCTGAAAGGGTGACGACGCTTCGTATGTTTTAAAATTCATTCATCACTATCCCTTCGAATATATGTTAGAGGCACAAAAGTACCAAAAATAAGAAAAAAAAAAAAAAAAAAAAAAACAAATTAAATTAGAACAAACGCCCAGATGTGGGATCTGAAGGTCATAGAATAATTATTGACCCGTGTGGGAATCAAATCCCATACCCGCGGTGCCTAGGTCAATCGCTTAACAAGGTTATCAAATCGTGTAATATATTGATTTTTCAGTTAATATAAGCTGTAACTTACATTACGTAAGTTATTGCGTGACTTTACTGCTTTTCTGTTCGAGTATCAAAATACATTTCTACAGGCATGATCAAACAATAACAATACCTGCCAGCAGATAGAACATATTATTTATAAACACGTATAGAGTATATATAAAATCTAATTGCAGCAGACCCGTATAATAAATATATATAAGTATAATAATATAGGCCCCTTCCCCTCTACATGGAACCAACAACAGAGCTGGTGCGGCTTGTGAAGCTTGCAAATACAGGGGTCTAGGCTCCGTATAAGATTTTGACCCATACGGTGGGGTAGCGCTATAAAGCTTTTTAAGTCACTACCGGGGTGAAGTGGAAGTGTTATACTTCTGCGTTTCGTCTGGTGATGTAGCCGCGGGCTACTTTATTAAAAGGTGGCAACGCATCTGCAACCCTCTGGGTGTTGCAAATGTCCATGGGCGGCGGTGATCACTTAACATCAAGTGAACCGCTAGGTTATATTAAAAAAATCTCGTCAAGGAACTTGCATCATAAAAACGCACGTGTAGCCACGTGCCAAGGGGCTTTAGGGCTTCGCGATAGAATTTCTTTAATCACTCTGTTACTTTATCGTGTTAAGTCCGTCGCAAATCTAATATGGGCCAGTTGCTAAGGTGTCAGCTTTGACGGCACACGTTTTGGGTTTGATCACACGATAAGTATTTTAATGACGTACAGAAGTAACGTAAATTTCCGTACATCATTAAGATAATTAAGCGGCTAAGTCGATTTATAGTTACAAGTAGTCGCCGAAATTTGACCGTAATTCATTAAACTAAACATTTCTGTGAAAAAAATGATTCTCTCAATTTAAAATTAAGTTCAACTCGCTCTGTCTATCTGACATTTTAAAACTCCCCGGCGTGAACGAGAAGTCTTTACAATATTTTACAATTTGTCAAAAGCTTCTTCTTCTTCTTCTAAGGCAGTTGGCTGTCAAAAGGTTATTTGCGACATCCGTTTGACATTGACAGTGAGAACATTTTGTATGGCCACGCAACAGTTTCTTTCTGTTTCACGAATAGGCAGGCCCGTCCGGGGAAGTACCGCGGCCTCAGAGAAGACCAGCGTGAAGTGGAAGTATTATACTTCCGCAATCGATCGATATCGATACGATCTCCACCGAAGGCGGGGGTCTCTTAACATCAGGTGGACTGCCTGCTCGCTTGCCAAATTTTCACACAAAAAATTATTACTTATTGCCAAAATAATCTTAGCTGTTTGTAAGTTGTTAATAAGGATGTTAACGCTTTAGAATAATAAAATAATACGTCTAATAAATCTGCATCTGCAACGGCGTAATATCAGTTCAGAGGATTAAAAATGAAATTTTATAAATATGTTATACAATTACAAATAGAAATACACAGAAATAGAAATACATGTCACGTACCAAAGATAGAAAGATAAATCAATTAAATGTTACTAAACATCGATTGATCTAGGATAGAAGTTTATTTTTTCAATCATCTTTTAGTCAAATAATAATCATACGTCATTGAGTTGTTCATAGTTAACAGAAAATAGGTATATCCAATAACAGTATTCTTGTGATCATAAGCTTCTTTCACTAAGAGGTTAGACATTACGATATTATAATCAGAACATTAATAATATAATAACTGTACCATAAGTACATAAGTAACATATCATGAAAACATATGTCAAGATTTTACCAAAAGCATTTGCGACGGATATAGGTACTATTATATGATTTAATTAATTTTTATTTTTTCATACACAACGTTTATTGTTTATGCTTATTGCGATGAGTTTATAATTTTGTGCAAATTTATTCTCATATCAGTCTCGTAGATAACAAACAAGAAGTTGATCGAAATGAAAAATTTGTATTATTTTACGAATATGCTCACAGACACAGTTCTAATCAGGGCTGTATCAACTTACTACTGAAAAATGTATGTATTATTTTGTAGTATATTTTTTAATTTTACCAGATAGGTAAAATTGAACTAAATAAATCTCTTTGCAATACGCCAATATATAGGTGATTTAACTTTATAAAATTCTGATTATTTTGAGTCGAGACTTGATAGCTCAATGAATTTCTTAAATAAAAGATATGTACCCATGAAAGTACTAAAACAATTAGTCTACAGGGTTAACTGTAAAAAGGCGTTATCAAAAAATTTTGAAACAAACTTACCACGGCATCAGGAGTGTCTTCGCCATTCTTTGCTATTTCAACACTAGAGTCTTGGCACGCGAACATCTTTCGGTGTACTTTTTTAAATTCGTCCATTAGAGCGTCGTGTTGCTTCTTCTTGTCGTCGTCTATCGGTTTTGGCGCGGTCGGTTTCTTTACTGGATTTGGCATTGCCTTGGTCTCTGGTGGGTTTTTCTTGTTCTGCGTTCAAAATAAAGAAGCTAATCTGTCTGTGTAAATGATTCGATGAGAATTATTTTTCCCCCACGGGGCTAAGCTTTTTTTTCCAATTATAGATAGATATTCTTTCAAGATCCGATAAATATATCTATGCTATTATTGTATGTTAAAAGTTCTAACAAAACAATGTAGTCTTACTTTACCATGGGGGCAAATAGAAATTTAAAAAATAGTCTAGCAGTTAACTTATGACGAGTTTCACTGTGAAAAAGGCCAGAGATATAAGTCAGAGAATAACATTCTTGTGGCTTGTCATTAATGTGCCTTCGGTTTCGGTTTCAGCCCGTTGACTTTTATTAAGCTTCATTCGGCGCACAGTCTGTGTGAAGGCTTTAGTTTACACGCGTTGTTAGATTCAAATCACGTATTTGGAATTGGATTTATGTGCATTGACAAAATAAAGAGAGATGCGAACTACCAGTTAATTTATTGCTTAAAGTACGATACATAAACGTGCGTGTCGTCCTTTAAATAATAAAATAAATTAAATCATACGCTTACCTAAAATAATTCTACAAAGGTAGGATTGGAGAAATCTCATAAACACGCTCTAATGGTTAGTTAGTGAAAGAATAAATTTCAATATCAATATATTAAAACGTGACGTAAAAACTTTGTACCCCCTTTTTACGAAAATTGCGCGGTCAGAGGAGTATGAAATTTACACACTTATAGTTCATATAAAGAAGTAGTGCAAAATGCTAGCATTTTGTAAATCATGCATTAAAATTCATTAAATCAATAAAAAAAAAAACAGTACACATATTACCATACAACACTAATTATGGTCGAATTTCAACCACCGGGCAACCCCTAGTAAGAATAAAATGATCAAGGAGAAAATGAACGTCATCGTAAAAAATAGTGTAGTGCTTGGTACTTAAATTCTTGCATTAAATCTGCATTTTAAACTGGAAATTAATGCAATTGATATCGAAAACCAGATGATTCTGGTCAGGAAAATGGGGCAAACTCATTAAACTATTTTATTGTCACCGGTCCTTGATATGTTTGAAAAACGTCATTTGCAAAACTGACGTTTCGAAGTGGATGAAAATAGCGTTCGAACATTCCATTACAAACACACGACCCTTCTTTATCTGAAGGTAACAAGAGCATGTTAATATAATTATATAGATTTGCGTAAATTTTAAAGTTTTTTATAGTGCTAATCTCTGCACTTAAGACTGAACATTAAAACATGTAGAAAAAGTAGATTTGCGTATTTACCAATTTTCTTCTCTGTATCTCCTCAGCGATAGCGCTCGATAACGTCGCCGAGCTAGATATGCTGGATGTGTCTGAATTGATATCCTTCTTCAAGGGCGGCGGGAAGCAGTGCGTGTTCGCGCAAGGAGCCGACGCCATGTGGTGCACTTCCACCAGGATAGTCTTCTTATCGCTCTCCCTGGTCTCATTCGGAAACACGTTCTTCATGGCCGCCTGATTGTTGTCGTAACTGCACTGTATCGTGGCGCCATCTTCCGTCAGATTTATGATAGTTCGATTCAGCGGAGTGGTCACCGCGGTTTCGAATTCCTTATTCTTCCTCATGTGCGACTTGTTCTCGTACGTGTGGGGGTTGTTCGGAATGCTGGGACAGTCGTAATCCGGCTCTATGTCCGACGGTGCGTCGAAATTGTGCGTGTCATCTTTTATCCAGTCGAAGTCTAGGCTATCCCACGTCCTTCTCTTCATCCTGTTGATGGTCAGTCTGTAAATAATTCAGTTCATACATAAACGTTCTAACTAATCTTCTATTGTTATGATAAAGATAATTTCACTCTATTGGTGTATGTTTATATTGACAAGATAATGACGAATTCTGCTCACCGCAGGATCGTAAGTCGACTTTTAATGTGATTTTTTTAGATTATTGGTGAAACACTTTCAGCGAAGCAGGATTTGAATCTGCAATTCAGGGTAACGCGACCAGATGCTTTACTAACACAGAAAATAAGTTTCGTTTTTTTCATGTAAAACTCACCGTAAGTAATAAGTTAGAATGAAATAATAAACTATACTGCGAAATATTCCTAACGTTGAATACTTTTAATTACTAACTATAAATGAACTCCTTTGTTATGTATATTCGAAAACTGAATCAAAAGCTTTTGTTATTTCAGAAATGGGCAGGCTTGTCCTGTACTACCACGCCCTGTACTACCACGGCCACAGAAAACCAGCGTGAAGTTTTAAGTTTTGTCTGCTGAGAGTACATTAAAAAGTTTGTAACGTATCTGCTACCTTAAAGGACTCGTAGATGTCGATGGGCGGTGGTAATCACTTATCATCGGGTGAATGTTTTTTTTTTACGTGGGATCCTTAAATTCCCTTGAATCCCTATTATACCACCATATCGGGCAAGCGCCACGACAGGTAGCAGTGGTGGAAACGGGTACCCATTAAAACCCACCTCACTCTCTCGTCCCGTTTTTAAAACACTGATCATCGTAGAAGTTAATTAATCAGAATGATCTTCTTAATGAAATCAAATCTCAGTTCAAACGGATTAACCGTCGTTTGGTCAACTCAAATGAAATTCGAGAAACCATTGCGTCGGTCTCCGACATCAGGTGAGCTCGCTCAATAAATTCTCCGAAAGAAAATGAATGGAGCTCCTTTGGCGGCAGTCGCTTGTACCTGTCCGCCCTGTCGGCCGCCTCTTCGGCGACGCTGGCCAACCTGCGGCGTAACGCTGCCGGCGGTGCCAAGGGCAATACGGGGGCAACGGGTGCGGGGCTCCTCTCGCCGGCCGCGGAGGACGCCGAGCTGTTGTAGCCGGAGCTCTCGGGCGACACCAGTTCCGTGCCGGCGCCCTCGCGGATCACCAGCTCCAGTCGCCCGCTCGCTTTCATCGCGGTTATGGCCTGGGGTACGTTCCCTTGAATTAGTACTGCCGTGTAACATTGAAAATTACAAAGACTTGTACATGAGATCGTGACACACCGTAGCTTCAGCCTCTACTACCTCAACTGTGATTATCATAATAAATAATAACTATATTATCTGTATTAGGCAAGTGATTTTTTTTATGTGAAAAGTTGCCAAGCGAGCAGACGGTTCACCTGATGTTAAGTGAATACCGCAGCCCAGCTACACCGAGGGTTCCAGATGCGTTGATAACCTTTTGAAAATTGGGCTCCGGCCACCGCACTCACCAGACGAAACGCGAAAGTATTATACTTCCACTTTACGCCAGTCTTCTGTGAGGTCGTGGTACCTACCCGGACGAGCCTGCCCATTCGTGTAACAGCTGAGCCTGCTGCGTTGCCCTACTACCGTGAAAAATTAAAATATAATAATTTTGTGAACATTACACATTACTAAACCATTCTGGTGTACCTATTTCATCAATTTTAATTTTAACTTAAATTTTCAAACATTTTCAATACTTTGCAGCATTGATGGAAATAAAAATAAAAATTTAGTTGTTAATAAGTAAGATTAGTAAGTAAGATGTTACCTCATTGAACGATATATTAGCGAAATCTTGACCGTTGCAAGACAAAATTTGATCTCCAGGCCGCAGACCAGCTTCTCTCGCTATGCCGCCTTCTCGCACGAACTGCACGAAGATACCAGGCTTCCAGTCGGGGCCTTTGCAAATTCTGCAGAAAAGGTTGACATAATAATCGTTAATTACCATAAAAACTCTTGTATAATGATTATCAACTTTTCAAATGAAAATAAAAAGACACACACATATGAAGTTACGTGAGATAAATATAAAAAGTAAAAAAAAAGTATAAAAAATAAATTTTCGCGTTGATAAATTAAATGCAATCATGAAATGTAAAAGAAGGATATACCGATTTCCCTTATGTTTGGTATAAATTGTTCTGGATATTGTATCTTGTCACCCTTGTCAACCGCGTTCGTGATAACTTCGACGGCATATTAGCCATAACCTATCTTAACTGCCCTTAGTAATCTCCAAATTAGCAAAACTACTTTACGGATTTTATTTTTAATTTGGTTTGATTTTTTCTTGGGTTGATTTGGTGCTGTTACGGTCGTATACAATCCGTAACGGTGTTTAACTAAAGCATGAAGTGCTCGCGTAAACTTGAAACTTAGACTTCGGCTAGAACTTTAACTGTAATAAGCCTGAATATTGTTACAAGCACCCAGTAATGTATTTATTCCGCCTACTCCCAAACTATATTGTTAGCTAGGAATAAATCTACGTCTGTTTTAACGGCTTTATGAACGACACTATGAATTTTGGTGTTGCAATCTAGGGAATAAAAACATTGAATACATAAATAAATCATTTTAAACAACTGCAATCATTTAAAATATATGCGTAATTACTGACTAGAAAAGCCGAAGCATTAGCAATAATTAAATAACTGTTTTATGATTTCGATCTACAAATATTAAGTTTGCTATCTAAGAACTTACCCGATTCAAATTAAAAATAACATAATATCTTCTACTGCAGCTTTACATTAGTGAAAAAACTTTAATCGGCTCAACGATTTTCGGGACTTACAAAATTTACCTTGATAATATTATTGTTTTATAATTTATTAGGATACATGAACTACAGATGTTCGCTTATCATTTAGCAAGAAAACAGCCGTTCAAAAAAACCGCGACAAGCTAACCGTGTTTTTCAAACAATATACCTAATAAGTATACTAAGTATAATGTTAGAGAAAGGTAGTGAAGACCGATCCCAGATACGTCAATTAGTGAGTTAGTCAATATAAAAATTGTTTATTTGAAAGTAGATTCTTATTTTTAAAGAGTCTCTGAATTAGAATTTAATGGGGATCGAATTAAATGACGCATTATAATTTCTCCTCTCAATGACGAAAACTAGAATTCTACTTGAATATGTGTATTAATAAATGCATGTAGTAATGCAACAGTTAAAATGATTAAAATACGTCCAATTTCGAACTTGTCGTTTTTAGTGAAATATGATAAAAAGTTTCAACCTTGATCCGATCTTATCGTGTTCTCGGATTACGGTACAAATCAACGTTTTCGATAAGCTTGTCATAATCGACATATGTATTGATGGCTTCCCATATTACGCGCGTTTGTTTCATGTGTTAATTTTGTTTCATAATATAGTAGGGCGAATTCTGCTTCGTGCACAATTTTCGATATTAATGAATTTTAATGGCTCTGAACATTTTTTTTATAGAAGAAGGGTGGTAAACTAGCAGGCGAGCCTCTGTCGTGAGTCTTTGGTTATCACACAGATTGGACGAAATGTAATTTAACATATGCGATTCATTTTAACAGATTCGGAAGGATATGATTATTATTGATAGACGGATTATTTGTTGAAATACACGATGTCGGCATAGACAATGTTTATCAATAAGCGATGTTTAAATTACGGCTTATGAAGCTCGGTGTTGTTATTGCCTCGAGGCGTTGAGATAATTCATGATCACTTCCACTAATGATTTCCCACTTGACCACGAAACGAAATATGATCAAACCCGAGTTCAAACCACAAATCTGATATCAATGAATTTTCTAACTGAACCCATAGAGGAATTTCTGATGGTCGTATACCATTTTTGCCTGACACATGACGCGTCAAGGATTCTCCCATTAAGTTTGTCGTGCCAGTGAGGAGACGTAGTATATGCTTTGGCTGTTCTTTGGGTGAAAGGGCTTACCCGCAGCCAAGCTTCGCTCTCGGCGGAACTAGTATCGAGAGGCGCATATCGGTCAGGTGCTCAGTGTTGTGGCACAGCGTGGGGGACGAGGACACATCGGAAGACAGCGACGTGCGCTCAGACACGAACTGCCAAGACAGCGGCTCGTGCTCCTTCCTGCGGCGAATGGTTATTTATTATAATATATAGTTTACATAACTCTCGGCATTCCCTAGTTCGCGTGTAAAAGTTGTTCTTATTTACTTTTTTAATTAATAACTCCTTGGACAAAAGAGCCTCTTTAATGACCAAAAATAACAAAATGAATATATGCACAAAGTTGTGTATGGTAAGATTTTACCACCTTTAAACAAATATACTTTTTTGCTTACAATTTCAGAAGTGAAAATACGGAATTTCTAGTTTTAGTTAGAACCTACATTTTTTAATAACACAAAGCAAAGCCGAATTTAAATATCTCCATCACTATACATTTTTATTAGACTTTCATCAAAACGCATGAAACTTTAAAAACCCATACAGATGCCAACAAAAAACTTATTAGGGTAAATCCGGGAGAAGCACTACAACGGATATACCGTCGAGATAATGTTTGAACAAAAAGAAAGGTGGCTAAAACAAGTTCAATATTACTTACTCTTTGACTGGTATCATGCCGACATCTGAAACAAAGTGATTTTGATATTAAATTGGGTTTATGTATGGTTTAGCTTTTGGATTTCTTGGGATTGAAGTTACAAGCTAGGCGAAGGTGTTAAAATGAATCTGGCACGAATTATGGGAAGTGTCCCAGTGAACAGTAAAAATTAATATAACTATGTCCCACAACTGGGCAAAAGCCTCCTCTGTACCGAGAGAAGAGTATACCACGTGACAGCACTGCTAATTTGAATTTCTTTTCTAATGCTGTCTTTTCTAATTTTTTTTTTATTGTTCTTACGAGACCCGAAAATTAACAAATTCCTTGGCGCCGGCACCGGTATTTAAACTCAAAAGAGTTTCTCGAGTATATTGAGTTAAAGGCGAACGCCTGGACAGCTAAGTGAACAGTCAGAGTTCATTGTTGCTCCTACAAGCGAAAAGGAATGCATGAAAAAAAATTTATAAAATTGCTAAGATTAAATTCTACACGCTAAACTATTCTAAAAATAAGGCTAGATTTGGAAAAGTTATGAGAGTAAACTGTTTACTATCAAACACCGACAGTCAAAGAGCGACCTAATGAAGTTTGTTGCAAAGCGAACAACTTCATGGTAATACATTGGCAAACAATAACAAATTTTTGATATACTTATTTTTTTTTATGCGAAAAGTTGTCAAACAAGCAGACGGTTCACCTGATGTTAAGTGAATACCGCCGCCCATGGACATCTGCCACACCAGAGGGTACAGATGCGTTGACAACCTTTTGAAAATTGGGCTCCGGCTACCTCACTCACCAGACAAAACGCGAAAGTATTTGTCATACTTCCACTTTACGCTGGTCTTCTGTGAGGTCATGGTACTTACCCGGACGGGCCTGACACATTCGTGCAACAGCCGAGGCTGCTGCGTGGCCCTACCACCGTAAAATTATTTGCCTATAACTTCAAGTTATTTATTAAACCGTTGTGTATTTAACGTAGTCTTTTTCACAATTTGTTTGTGTACTGCCACATATAGGGTAAAATGTATTGTTATTTTTCTTTTGAAACGCTAAAAAGTAGAAAAAAAAATATTGTATATAAGTAGTGTTTCATAAAGAATTTAATGCCAATTATATAATGCCAATATAATAATTATGATTTTTCTAACTATATTTTTCCATTTTACTTATTGAGAAAAGAAGGAAGACATTTTTTTATTATAGCAATTAATTGCGGTTCGATTAGGGCTACAGCTGTGCGTTGCGTAGATAAAGAAGTTATGTTTTTTCCCCTCATTAAGAGTATCTTTTGAAGATATCCTTTCCCCACACAATAAACTAAACCTTACGTACTTATATCAACCTACCACTACCTATGATCGTAGAATAGGTGTGTATAATCATTGACGAAGTTTCAGAGCATTTTCTGATGAGATAAAAGTGCGTTGAAAATTCCTTGCGTCATTTAAAGTACATTAATCGTAAGTTTATTACTTTATTGTGGGATAAGCGATGTGTGAAATTTGATAACGAGCGATGATTTAATTATTAAAATAGACATGAAAATTTCCGAATACTTTAATGACTCCGATATGTTCTCACACCCATTTAGGTGAGTTCGCCAATTTGACTCGGTGATTACCCTTTTGATTAAGAACTGTATAAAACTATATATGAATCACGAGAATGAATGTTTTATCACTAAATATCCGTCGTTTACTATTCTAGTTAAAAGCAAATACCCTCTTATTAAATAAAATTTTTTGCTAATGCCTAATGCCATAGAATGCATTACTATTTATTGAGTATGGGTATGTATTCATATAGGTATACAAATGAATATATATGTGGGGTATAACTTGAACTTTTACCCCATTATTTTATGCTTAGAGTTTACAAACCATACCGCCCTAGTTCTCATTCTCTTTCTGTTTCACCTAGGGTTACCGGGTAGGGAATGCATTATTAATGCGGTAAGCTCGCCTTTGTACAATTTTTATTGCAATAAAAATTAAATAAATAAACTGCATACAATCGTCAGCAGCATGCCGCTGACAATTATATAGACTGCTGACTATTTATTAGTAGTTACTAATGTAGAAACTATTTCATACCGGCTAGCTAATTCCTCAAAATTATTGAAAACTTTGTGAATTAAAGGCAAATTAGCTTCATTTAACAGTTTGTGGTATTTTATTATTTCCATTTCATTCGAATACGAGTCGAATAATATCCTGCAGGGGCATCATTACAGGAACACACGCCACTAATAACCTGGCAGATTACGAAATTCGAAGAAGGATTGACTTGTTATCTCCAAGTACGGATTGAATTTCAAATTAGCGCTAAGTGGCCCGGGCAGACAATTACAAATGTATCTTTTCATGTCAATGGCAGAAGAAATTACATACATTTTTTGATGCTCGTTAACGACTTTAAAAAGTTTGTTATCTTGTTTACCAAACGGTAAATCTTGCCAAACTGCGCAGGCCCGTACAGTTTACCTACAGAGAATATAGTTTTCTTAAAACAATTTAATGTCCGTGTTATTTCTGGACCATTTATCTTCTCACTCTAATCTTAGATTGATAAGAATCTTAGATTAGAGTGAGAAGAGTAGTTTACAAAATCTATTATTATTTCGTAAAGAACAAAATGTAATGATAAGACTTATTCTTATAATTAGTTTCTAAGCTAAAACATTCATGATGTTTAAATTATTTATAGGTTCAGCTATAAGGAATGTTATTCGCAAAAGTATTTTACAATAAACTCTAGCCTTCTTATCCTCGGCGTAGCACACAGAGTTAGGATAGTATCACTGTGTACCGATTAATCACCATGAGGTTTTTAATTACAATTTATGAGGTTACAAATGTAATGGCAAGCGATGTGTTCATTACTGTGCGTATTTTATTTTGTTTAATATATACTATGTGAATTAGTTCGTGCTTCGATAGTTACAGTTAATGCAGCGGACTTATTATTAATTACTAATGTAGAAAGTATTTGATATAAAATGTGCGACTATATTGCAAAAATTGAAAAAAGTTATATTGAATATAATTGTATTGTGAAATATTACTTCAAAAATGGTAAAGAATAAATTAAACAAATGTATGATTTTTACGGCCGACAATGATGACACGATTCATGTTGTACAAGTCTGCTGGAACCAGCATTTCTGGAAGTAATCGAATCTAAAACAATGTAGATAAAGGACGTTAAGATTTTCGTCGGTGTGGCTTAGTGGTTAAAGCGTCAGGCCGCGAATGCCGAAGACGCGGGTTCGATTCCCACAGTGGCGACAATCTTTTCGTACTTTTTCTAAATAATACAAATGAGGTGTTTTAATACTCACGCCGCACTTTGATCTTGAGCCTGGACTGGGAAGTGAGGTAATGTACTAGCTCAGCGTGCACTGCATCGTCCACCCGATATCCATTCACACTCACAATTTGATCGCCCACCTGAAATAAATATTCGTATCATTAGCTAAGCGAGACCATTTACATACAGAACATAAAAGACAAACAGTGCGGTTAAGACAGAGAGACGGAAACATAAGACGATTTTTGAAAGAAAGAAGAAAGAAAGAAAGAAAAATATTTATTTGGTACATAAACGAGAAAAAAAATGACATAAAAGAACACAGTAATTTAGTTACAAAGAGAAAAAAAAATATTTTATGCTTATTAGTGCACCAAAAAGGTTTCCACTCAGCGTTAAATTCACGAAGTTTAATAATTAAAAAAAACTTCATGAAAGCTGATTTTCAGTGGAACCTATATATAAGAAGGTAGATGGCCGAGACCGTCAGCTTACACAAATATCTTAAAAACCAAGTAACAATCTTAAAACTATGAAATATAATAATAAAAATAAAAAACGAAAATTACAAGGTCATAACAATCATAATAAAAACAAACAAAGGTACATGTGTGTGTGTGTGTGTGTGCTAGTGCTAGACTTTGGTGTTTCTATTACTATTTAATAGCATAAGCATTCAGCTTTAATGCTGGATGTGATTTCATCCACATCTGTGTAACCTAGTATTATTAAACATTAATTTATAAATAAACACCGTAATGAATATTAAATATAATGTATTTCTAGAGACACTTTTATACAACGTTATCTAGTCCGAAACTAAGTAACTGATAAACTTACTTAGACATAATTTTCTTTTGTAAGTAAATACCTATTACCGATGTACACACCCAGATACTGGAAAGAATTATTTTCATCACACGTCACGAAAAGTATTATTTCAGGTTGTGGAAACCAAGACCACAGACTGTGAGGTATGAATCAGGTTCACTATCCACATCGCCAATAACCCAAGATGGAATCGTCATTTTGTTTTACATGACTAGTGCGTGTACAGCCTACGAGTACATTGCTGCTTACTTTGGTGGGAAAGCAGCTAAGCAATGGCTAGTTTGTGAATAGAAAAAAAAACGTTAACGAGGTCGTCTTTCTTTCAACTTTTATTTAATGCATATACAGGGTGGCTTTTCTAAAGGTGCCCAAATTCACACAGGAGGTTTAGACTCGCTAGTGTAATTGTTTATTGAAATAAAAACAAATTTAAAAAAAAATGCCATTCTATTCCCTAAAAAAAAACAATTTCTTGACAATGCGGTAGTCATTTATAAATTCTTCGTATATTTTTTAAACGAATTTGTGTGCGTGTTAATTATGAATGATCGCGATAATAAATAATGCACTAAATAATGCAATAAATAATGCAATTATGATAAATAATGCACATTTTGAGATAAGTTCAAATGGATGTAATTAATTAATTACGAGTGATTTGAAATATTTATAATTTTTTATATAAAATTATTTATGTGTAGAATTTAATAAAAATAATGTATACACTCAGAAAAGCCTCCCTGTATAGAGCAAATAAGTAGACAATGTTTTTGGTCAGGTTTATTTTCAGTTGTATATCAATCGGCGTAAGGTAATTTATTATATTGTAAACAGTTTATTTTTAATTGGAGAATTTTTCTGAACGGTTCTGCTTTCTTTCTTTTTCTGTAAGAAATCCTTATGAAACACGTATAAATGATATGAAATACCAGTTTATGCTGAAAATATTTTCGTTCTTTATTATTATAGTAATTTTTTTGAACATCAACGATACCTATAAGGTGTTAGACAAGTAGCCTATCAACTTCATGGTTTTACACCATTCGTAGTAGCAAATTTGTCACGTTCTGAGGAGAGGGGTCGTTGGAGGGTGGAGGTCCTTCGACCCGTAGCACCAGCTCAGCGTGGGCAGTTGCAACGACATTATAACTAAGTACAACTGAGTCATCATAGTTGACGTCAAAGCACGCGGACCCGTCGTCAGCGCGCATGATAGCATTATCGCGGCCCGCCACGGGTTTTAGTGAGGCAATCTTTTTCACGCTTCGGAACCGATTGATGAATGAACTTGTGACGTCACACCCACACGAGCGGATCTGATGACGCGTTCGCTTGTGACGAGGGGAGCACTTTCTTCGCGCTCACTTCTGCCGCCGGAGCCGGGCAGTTCTTATGGCCCACATAGCTGGCAACTTTCGATCGGACTTTCGATCCACCTCTTGGCCGTTTTTTTTTTGCCGATCGACGCGGGAGCCCGTCGGAATACGAATTCTTGATAAATGAAGGGCGGGCGCATTCCTCGTTCGTTTGTGTGCTCCAATAGAAGCATCGGAAGTGTTAATAATACGTTTCTAGATTGTTCCACGACGATAGCACAACTGATCTTGTTATCGACACCGAGAATGAAATGTTAAGGGAGTCATTAACGCGCTGAATATTTTTTCTTCACGTCACAGGAAATTCTTATTTCATTAGCATAGAGCATTACACTAGATAAAAGTCTCGAGTCTAGTATAAATTTTGTAAAGGAACATTTCCCAACAATAAATAAACAAACATTTTCTTGTGCGATAATATTGTTGGTATATTTATATCAAAAAAATATTAGTAATAAAAAATCATAAACACAGATAGAAAGACTAAATTCCAATGATAAAAACAACAAATATCACTAGTAAAAATAACGCTTTGCACTTTTTGACATATAAAACTTTTTTTATAAAATTCGTGATTTTTTTTAATGTGAGAAAGTAGCAAACCACCTGGCATATGTTAAGTGATACCCCCCGCCAATGGACATTTGCAACACTCGTAGGGTTCCAAATACGTCGCCACCTTTAAATAAAGAGGGCCCCGGCTACCTTACTCACCAGATGGAAAGCTTAAGTGTAATACTTCTACTTTAACGCGGTCATCTGGGGTCTGTTTATAAAAGCTATCACACCATTGGAAATCTAGCTCTGGGAATTGGGTGATTAGCGATTCAAATTCTCGATCTAGTAACGAATAAATATCTGCTAAAAATATCTTTTAAGTAACAAAAAAGTAAAACCGACTTAAAATATCTCACTCACTGTACATTAACAGATTCCCTTAATATTGTTTTCACATAATTATTTATCCATTGGGCGTGGCTTTTTTAAGCAAGTTGATGTGCTTTGTTCTATTTTCTCATTTTTAAGGTTCCGTACTCAAAGGTCCGGACACCGCTCTCTGTCTATCTGTACTGTACATCTGTCACCAGGCTATATCTCATGAACCGTGATAGTTAGACAGTTGAAATTTTCACAGAAGGTATTTCTGTTGCCGCTATAACAACAAATACAAAAAAAAAACAGAATAATTTTACACGATAGATAACAGATATGATATTTTACCGTTTTCATAGATAATGGTACGGAATCATTCGTGCGCGAGTCTGACTCGCACATGTCCGGTTTTTGTAAATCAACTCACTTGGTCCCATTTAGCTTGTTTTAATAGACCAGTAGACTTGTAGACCAAAAAACAAATAAGGCAAATGAAGAGAGTAAAATATATGTACATTTTGATAAGTATCTATTGTGTAATAAGTACCTATTTATGAACATGCTGATGCTTTAGGCGTGATAGTTCAGTGTACGATTCGCTTTTAATTCAATATAAGTACTCGAACCAACCAAAGAAATTTTAAAGATCTTTTTATTTATTCCACAGCATTCATCATATCATTAGAATCCATCCGCTGTCTATACCGTTAGCCGTTGTAGAATCAAATCCAATTTATACTAGCCACAGACAACGGATTAACAGGCATCATGGTGGTGGCAATTTATGCTTTGCTAAGATCAAATTTCAGCGGACAAACCGCACGAACCTCATTTAAATCGATTAGTTCAGCGACTTTAATACACTTTTACAATATCCGTATTTTATCGTTCTCACGTGCATTACTTCAAAACGGAGGGGAACATAGTTAAAATGTAAGAAAATATTTTAACGCATAAGTGCAGTAATTAATATTTTGATCATATCCTTTGTGTGCCGACCAATGCATATAAGACCTAAAAAGGTAATACGAACTGAAAATAAGGCATTTATAAGTAAAAAAACGTAAAGTAACAGTTTATATATGTCCCACTGCTGGGTAAAGGCCTTCTATGTACAAAGGTTATCAGGGCTTACTCCACCACTGCGGATTTGCGGACTTCGTCATCTATTGGACATCTATTGAAAATATTATTATTTTTGTGAAAATATTATTCTTTCAGAAACATGCAGGTTTCCTCACGATGTTTTCTTTCACCGTTGAGCATGTGATAAGTCAGCTCTTAAAATAAATAATTTCATCGGTGCCGGCACAGGGGATTGATGTTGCTCGAGTATATATTACGTCGGACCCACCGTCGGGGGTCCCGCCGGATAACACTACACACACAGTTAGTGTAGCAACAAACACATTAGTTCGCCCTCGCCTCCGAGCACGGCGAGACCAACACAACGCGTACACAAGGTACACCCGCGTTCCAGGGCGGTTCTCACCGCCCCCAGCCACCGATTAGCTAAAAACACAGTCGACGGCCATCAGGGTCTCGGTCCGCACCGCTACTTCGATGGCCCTTAGATGACATGCCGTAGTTAAACGCACGCATGAGCACATGCGCGGCCCTACCCACAGCGGAGGGCCCAAACCCGTGGGTTCTGGCTAGCCCACCGGTTCTGCGTCAGATGAAGCTTTAATAGTCTCTGGACTGAAAGCACAAACATCAGTTAATACAAGATACAAGATCGAGTATATAGAAATAATGGCGTGCTCCCGGCCGGGTCAATGAGCTATCACGGCTACTAACAGACTAACTAAGAAGAGTTTGGACAAATGAGTAATCCAAGTGTTCTTATGGTCCATCAATTTACTAAATTAGAAAATAAATTTATGTATAATTTTATTTTCCGGGGTACATACCTACATGACATTTAATATAAATTAAAAAGTAACCAAATTGTATTTGTAAATGTGTAGATTAAAAAATATTATTAATGGGCAGCATTAATATTATTTTAATACCGAGTTGAAATAATAAGTATTATTTATTTATTAATAAACATCAAA